TGACATTGTTCACACTGATGTATTTTGTCATCACTTTTTGCATTATGAGTATTCATATGCCTTTTTAAACTAAATTTTCGATCCGTTTTATAGTCACACTGTCCACATTTGTGTTTCATTCCAGACTGCGAGCTGTTATGGCAAATCATATGCGTATTCAAGTCATATTTTTTTAGCATTTCATTGCTTAAGACAACATGCTTGACCATATGATTTTTATAGTTTCTTAATGAGTATGTAACATAGTCACATTGTCCACATTTGTAATCCTGAGATTTGTCATGAATCAACATATGAACATTAAAATCAGGTTTCACATGAGTTTTGTAATCACACTTGTCGCATTTATACTCAATTCCATTTCCTCTGCCATGTTTTCTTGTCATATGGCCTTTCAAGCAAAATTTATTATGTGTTTTATAATCACATTGTTTACACTGATATTTTTTATCCCATGTGCTGTGGGATATCATGTGTCTTTCAAGAAGACATTTCTGATGTGTTCCGTAATCACACACTTCGCACTTGTGCTTCTTTTCCTTTTGATGTATTAACAGATGGCTTATAAGGTTATCTTTTCGGTGTGTTTTAAATTGACATTGTTCACACTGATGTATTTTGTCATCACTTTTTGCATTATGAGTATTCATATGCCTGTTTAAACTACATTTTCGATTCGTTTTATAGTCACACTGTCCACATTTGTGTTTCATTTCAGACTGCGAGCTGTTATGGCAAATCATATGCGTATTCAAGTCATATTTTTTTAGCAATTCCTTGCTTGAGACGTCATGCTTGACCATATGATATTTAAAGTTTTTTAATGAGTATGTTACATAGTCACATTGTCCACATTTGAAATCCTGAGATTTGTCATGAATCAACATATGAACATTAAAATCAGGTTTCACATGAGTTTTGTAATCACACTTGTCGCATTTATACTCAATTCCATTTCCTCTGCCATGTTTTCTTGTCATATGGCCTTTCAAGCAAGATTTGTTATGTGTTTTATACTCACATTGTTTACACTGATATTTTTTATCCCATGGGCTGTGGGATATCATGTGTTTTTCAAGAAGACATTTCTGATGTGTTCCGTAATCACACACTTCGCACTTGTGCTTTTTTTCCTTTTGATTTGTTAACAAATGCCTTATAAAGTTATCTTTACGATTTGTTTTAAATTGACATTGTTCACACTGATAATTGTTTCCTACTCCATAGGCTAACTTATGTGACACTCTAGAGGGACTGGAAACGTTTCTTCTTTTCAACATGTCAAATTTGTTGATTTTCGTTGATGATCTTTTACAGCTGGATGTTGGCGTCTCAGAACTCCTGAAAAAAAAACTGATATTAGTGACATGACAAAAAACTGATGTTAGAAACTATGCACAAGACATTTCTTCAAGTTGCGCGCGTTTCACGATCATGCCACATCGCGCTTCACCTGCGTTAACGAACTACATGGTATTGGTAACAATAAAAAGTGGCATTTTCTTAGATTCTATCTATCCGTCATTTGTTTATATGTAGAACCTTTGCCTATTAGTCACTGTCTAATGTGCGTTCGTTGAATCTGTCAGTCGTGGTTACCCAGAAACCAATGTCCAGGGGAAAGAGAAAGGGGAAGGGAAGAAAAAATGGAAGAGCAAAGAAAAACAGAAGTGTATCAGTTTAAGAGGAAACACCTAGGCTTTTTCACTTGGTACACTGATTTTGAGGAGCACTAAAAATAAATTTTGATTCTGGTTTTGGTGGAGTATAATTTCGGGTGTAATTAAAGTTAGCGCTCATTTTTTATCATGAAGACTGCATGTGTGTCTTCGCAAGAAAACACCAAGCCGCACATGCGTACGTAATAGCTGGGTCCAATAATCATTTTATATAGTCGAACTTTATCGAGCTCAATTTGGAGGATCTACATAACAAAGGATATAGTTGCCCAAACGCAATTTGAAATTTTGTTTTCAACGCTGCTGTTTGTTTCTGCCATGTCATGCCTTTATCAAGGGTGACACCGAGATACCTCGGCTGAGGGGCAGCGACGTCGTGCTTAAAAAGCTAAATATAATAATAAAAAGTCGCAAGATTGAAGCTCAGTGGTAGATAGTATTACAACGCACGTGTTTGTTCTAAACATTTTTATTGAAGTAACTCGAAAATTAAAATTACAATAGTGGTATACAAGCTTCCTATAACTAAGTTATACAGTGTAAAATAACTCCCCTTTTTCCACTAACACAAATCGCTACCTATACAAATTAAATAGAGCAGGTAATAGACTAATCATTGGTAGAAATACATCAGATAGACGATAGTATGTATCTAACTATTGTTTGGATATAACAGAAAACAATATCGTTTATTATAAAAACAATATATTATTTTCAAAAAATGAAATTAAAAGTAATAGGAATGTAGTCAGGTGACAGACAACCTCAATCAGAAAATGTTAGGTCATGCCGTGTCGAACACCTCGTTGTAATTTTTATACAGAGAACAGGCTATCATGACATTAGATATTTTCAATGTTTAGCAGTGTTTATCTAGTGATTTGAATACATCTTGAAAAACAAGGTTAATTCGCTATGGAATCATGATTCATCAAAGCAAACAGCAGTATATTACGTTCTGTGTCAAACTTGGTAAAACATTTACCGAAACGCATCAGATGTTAATGCTAGTGTACGGTGATGATTGTTTATCTCGTAGAGAGCGACGTGAGTTGGCCAGCCAAAAGCTGTGATTATGCCAGAAACCGAAAAAAAATGCGTGGATTTATCGAAAATGATAAAAAATCTTTATTCAGATACATCGAAATGGAATTAAATATCTATAAAGATTCAATCCATCGCATGTTGAGCAAGAATTTGCCTGAGAAAGGTGTGTTCACGGTTTGTTCCGCACAAGCTCACGGATGACCAAAAATTGCTTCGAATTCAACATTCGAAAGACATTATTAAAGAGGTCAAAACAGATAAAAATCCTCTGTACATTGTGACTGGTAAAGAAATAAGGTATTTTCAATGCGATCCCGAAACCAAGCGTCAAAGTGCCGAATGGAAGCACCCAAGCGAGCCAAATCCGATATATGTATATGGATAAAACAATCGCTGCTAATTGAAAAAAATATGAAGCATAGTTAAGTAGCTATTAATTTTTTTTACGGTGTCCTCCCTTTCCGTTTAGAGCTGGGTACGCTCTTGAGGGAGTAACAAAAAGCCAAACATGATTGCCAACGACTTCCTCCTCAACACTACTATTAGTACACAGTTTGTCTAATCGCTCTATAACGGAGTAAACGTTATGGTAAGTTTTCTAAGAAAAGTATTTGTTATGATTTATACATTATTTTGTTTTCCACTTTGTTGTAAGGAATACATGCTTCTGGCATGTAATCTTTTTCATCTGTATCTGACCTATGGACGCCTACCGAGTTTACGTTTCATACACTAGAAACCCAAGTTGTCCAACGGCTTGAGCTCAATGTGTACGAGAGGGAAGTGTGTATAGACACATATTATGTTATAATGATGTAGAAGCCGGCTGGATAGCGTTGCCTAGTAACGCTGACGCGGCAATCTGCAGCGTTGCCAATATGTTACACCAGCTCCTTGAATTAAGATGCATATTGAAAATATACGTTAGTTTATTCTTTACACCCGAATAATTATTTTATTTTGCGCGAATTGAATTATGAAATGTGTCGAATCTGTCTGGGATTTTGATTCCAGATTGGTCCTAACAGCGCGTTATTTTAGGTAGTCAAAATGAAAGGTCAGGATTTCCACATATTCTGCAACATTGCATCACTGGTTCGTTTGGCAACACCGCATCTCGTACAATCAAAGGTTTCGACCTACACATAATGGCTTCCACCTGCGTATACGCAAGCAGACAAAATGTAACAACTCAGGATGTGTTGATTTTATCACCATCGGAGGATATCAAAGATAATTATAAAATAAATTAAAACACTGATCAAAATGAAAACAAAATATTAAATTAAATGTTCGAACAGACCTCCTTCATAGGTTTGAAAGTAACCTAACCTATTGTAGCAGCCTGTGCGAACATTTTGTGGTGTAATATACAGGCAACGCGGCAGATTGTACGACCTTGTGCGTCATCGTTGCTAGGCAATGTGGTCATGGCCTTCGCTCTTAAGCCGGCTTCTATCTCTTTCTAACATGCGTTGATATACACTTCTCGCGTTTCTCTCTCGTACACAATGAAAGACATACACATTTGGTGTTCCCTGTATATGTATTTCAATATACATGGACATTTATAATTCATTTCTCTCTACTCCTTGTTATGAATTCGTGAATGTTTCTTCAAGACAAACTTTAAATAAGTTTTATAATCACACACTTCGCACTTGAACCTGTTTTCGTTATTGTGTATTGATGTACCTATGCCTTAACAAGCTTTCTTTATACCATGTTTTACTGATGTATTTTGTCATTACTTTTTGAATTATGAATCTTCATATGCCTTATCAAACTACTTTTTCGATCCGTTTTATAGTCACACTGTCCACATTTCTATTTCATTTCAGAGTGCGTGCTGTTATGGTAAATCATATGCGTATTCAAGTCATATTTTTTTAGCATTTCATTGCTTGAGACATCATGCTTGACCATATGATATTTATAGTTTCTTAATGAGTATGTAACATAGTCACATTGTCCACATTTGTAATACTGATATTTGTCATGAATCAACATATGAACATTAAAATCAGGTTTCACATGAGTTTTGTAATCACACTTGTCGCATTTATACTCAATTCCATTTCCTCTGCCATGTTTTCTTGTCATATGGCCTTTCAAGCAAAATTTATTATGTGTTTTATAATCACATTGTTTACACTGATATTTTTTATCCCATGTGCTATGGGATATCAAGTGTTTTTCAAGAAGATTTTTCTGATGTGTTCCGTAATCACACATTTCGCACTTGTGCTTCTTTTCCTTTTGATGCATTAACAGATGCCTTATAAGGTGATCTTCTCGGTATGTTTTAAATTGACATTGCTCACACTGATGTATTTTGTCATCACTTTTTGCATTATGAGTATTCATATGCCTTTTTAAACTAAATTTTCGATCCGTTTTATAGTCACACTGTCCACATTTGTGTTTCATTCCAGACTGCGAGCTGTTATGGCAAATCATATGCGTATTCAAGTCATATTTTTTTAGCATTTCATTGCTTAAGACAACATGCTTGACCATATGATTTTTATAGTTTCTTAATGAGTATGTAACATAGTCACATTGTCCACATTTGTAATCCTGAGATTTGTCATGAATCAACATATGAACATTAAAATCAGGTTTCACATGAGTTTTGTAATCACACTTGTCGCATTTATACTCAATTCCATTTCCTCTGCCATGTTTTCTTGTCATATGGCCTTTCAAGCAAAATTTATTATGTGTTTTATAATCACATTGTTTACACTGATATTTTTTATCCCATGTGCTGTGGGATATCATGTGTTTTTCAAGAAGATATTTCTGATGTGTTCCGTAATCACACACTTCGCACTTGTGCTTCTTTTCCTTTTGATGTCTTAACAGATGCCTTATAAGGTTATCTTTTCGGTGTGTTTTAAATTGACATTGTTCACACTGATGTATTTTGTCATCACTTTTTGCATTATGAGTATTCATATGCCTTTTTATCCTATATTTTCGATCCGTTTTATAGTCACACTGTCCACATTTGTGTTTCATTCCAGACTGCGAGCTGATATGGCAAATCATATGCGTATTCAAGTCATATTTTTTTAGCATTTCATTGCTTGAGACATCATGCTTGACCATATGATATTTATAGTTTCTTAATGCGTATGTAACATAGTCACATTGTCCACATTTGTAATCCTGAGATTTGTCATGAATCAACATATGAACATTAAAATCAGGTTTCACATGAGTTTTGTAATCACACTTGTCGCATTTATACTCAATTCCATTTCCTCTGCCATGTTTTCTTGTCATATGGCATTTCAAGCAAAATTTATTATGTGTTTTATAATCACATTGGTTACACTGATATTTTTTATCCCATGTGCTGTGGGATATCATGTGTTTTTCAAGAAGACATTTCTCATGTGTTCCGTAATCACACACTTCGCACTTGTGCTTCTTTTCCTTTTGATTTGTTAACAGATGCCTTATAAAGTTATCTTTTCGGTATGTTTTACATTGACATTGTTCACTCTGATAATTATTTCCTATTCCATAGTTTAACGTATGTGACACTCTAGAGGGACTGGAAACGTTTCTTCTTTTCAACATGTCAACTTTGTTGATTTTCGTTAATGATCTTTTACAGCTGGATCTCGGCGTTTCAGAACTCCTGAAAAAAAAATGATATTAGTGACATGACAAAAAACTGATGTTAGAAACTATGCACAAGGCATTTGTTCAAGTTTTTTTTTTTTTTTTTAAAGTTGCGCGCGTTTCACGATCATGCCACATCGCGCTTCACCTGCGTTAACGAACTACATGGTATTGGTAACAATAAAAAGTGGTTTGGATTGTCTCAAATTATTTTATGCATTTTCTTAGATTCTATCTATTCGTCATTTGTTTATATGTAGAACCTTTGCCTATTAGTCACTGTCTAATGTGCGTTCGTTGAATCTGTCAGTCGTGGTTGCCCAGAAACCAATGTCCAGGGGAAAGAGAAAGGTGAAGGGAAGAAAAAAAAGAAGAGCAAAGAAAAACAGAAGTGTATCAGTTTAAGAGGAAACACCAAGCCGCACATGCGTACGTAATAGCTGGGTCCAATAATCATTTTATATAGTCGAACTTTATCGAGCTCAATTTGGAGGATCTACATAACAAAGGATATAGTTGCCCAAACGCAATTTGAAATTTTGTTTTCAACGCTGCTGTTTGTTTCTGCCATGTCATGCCTTTATCAAAGGTGACACCGAGATACCTCGGCTGAGGGGCCGCGACGTTTGTTAGTACAATGCCTGCGTTTTCGAAATACTTTTTTTATTCAGCCACCCTTCCTCCACCACAGTCTGCAACAAATCGTGAACTAGATCACCAGTACACGACTGGGCGACAAATGCAGTGTCGTCAGCGTACAGGTAGACTTCGCAGTTGCTTGGGCATGGGATTTAGCTTAAAAAGCTAAATATAATAATAAAAAGTCGCAAGATTGAAGCTCAGTGGTAGATATTATTACAACGCACGTGTTTGTTGTAAAAATTTTTATTGAAGTAACTCGAAAATTAAAATTACAATAGTGGTATACAAGCTTCCTATAACTAAGATATAAAATAAAGTCTAAAATAACTCCCCTTTTTCCACTAACACAAATCGCTACCTATACAAATTAAATAGAGCAGGTAATAGACTAATCATCGGTAGAAATACATCAGATAGACGATAGTATGTATCTAACTATTGTTTGGATATAACAGAAAACAATATCGTTTATTATAAGAACAATATATTATTTTCAAAAAATGAAATTAAAAGTAATAGGAATGTAGTCAGGTGACAGAAAACCTCAATCAGAAAATGTTAGGTCATGCCGTGTCGAACACCTCGTTGTAATTTTTATACAGAGAACAGGCTATCATGACATTAGATATTTTCAATGTTTAGCAGTGTTTATCTAGTGATTTGAATACATCTTGAAAAACAAGTTTAATTCGCTATGGAATCATGATTCATCAAAGCAAACAGCAGTATATTACGTTCTGTGTCAAACTTGGTAAAACATTTACCGAAACGCATCAGATGTTAATGCTAGTGTACGGTGATGATTATCTCGTAGAGAGCGACGTGAGTTGGCCAGCCAAAAGCTGTGATTATGCCAGAAACCGGAAAAAAATGCGCGGATTTATCGAAAATGATAAAAAATCTTTATTCAGATACATAGAAATGGAATTAAATATCTATAAAGATTCAATCCATCGCATGTTGACCAAGAATTTGCCTGAGAAAGGTGTGTTCACGGTTTGTTCCGCACAAGCTCACGGATGACCAAAAATTGCTTCGAATTCAACATTCGAGAGACATTATTAAAGAGGTCAAAAAAGATAAAAATCTTCTGTACAACATTGTGACTGGTAAAGAAATAAGGTATTTTCAATGCGATCCCGAAACCAAGCGTCAAAGTGCCGAATGGAAGCACCCAAGCGAGCCATATCCGATATAGGGGGACTGTTGTACCTTGGGCATAGTGTACCTTGGAACACATACCATTTTTTCATAGTTCTGACATCTAGCGGCCGGAAAATAAATTTCCTAAATTAGATTACCGTTACAGATCCCTTACAATAATTTGAACTTTCTACTGATCACCCCGTGGTTTTTGTGAGTAAATATTATTTTTCAAAGACAGAAGTAAAAATTTTTAATTTCAAATTCGTTTTCTTTAATCGAAGGTGCTAGTCGGATTGTGGACTTTATTAGAATAATAGAAGTCCTTGTAATGTGGTGAGTAGATTCATCCTCTTAAACAATCAGTTTACGACAGTTTGTAGGTTAGGAAGCGATTTTGTTTCGGCAAGGTCCCTTCCTGTACCTTGGAACATAAAACAGCTTGTACCTTGGAACACGTTTCATGGTACATGACGATACTTTTTATCGAGTTTTTCTCTTGTTTTAGGTAAAATGCCTCGCAGCAAATTGAACGTCAAAAGACCTCCTGTTAATTCTACTGCATTAGAAAATGCTGTTAAGGCAGTTTTGGATCCAGAAAATATATCTTTAAGAGAAGCATGTAAAATATTTGGTGTTAAGTTAACAACTTTGTCAAGACATCTTTCTCGGTTTCGAAAATCAGAGAGTCAAACTTTCGAATATAAACCAAGACTGGATAACAAAAAAGTATTCACTGATTATGAAGAGAATTGTTTGCTCCTTTATATAAAAAAGGTGGCAAAAATGAATTATGGCTTGACGAAAAAAAGTGTAAGAGAACTCGCTTTCAAGTTTGCTGCAGCAAATAATAAAGCTTCTCCAGATACATGGCACCAGAATCAAATTGCAGGTGAGGAATGGATGAGGGCTTTTATGAAACGTCACCCAGACTTATCTATAAGGACACCTGAGGCTACTAGCTTAAGTAGGGCAAGTAGTTTCAATAAAACCAATGTCAGTGCTTTCTTTGATAATATTGAAAGTGTGCATAACCGCTTTGGACCTATTCCAGCTGAGCGGATTTGGAACATTGACGAGACTGGCATGAGCACTGTCCAAATCCCTGGAAAAATTGTGGCACCAAAAGGAATAAGACAGGTTGGTAGTGTGACTTCTGCTGAACGTGGCAATTTAGTTACATTGATAACAGCAGTCAGTGCAATTGGAAATCACATAAGTCCTATGTTGATTTTTCCCCGTGTACACTTCAAAGAGAGGATGTTATTTGGCGCTCCACCGGGATCGGTTGGGGCTGCTACACAGACAGGGTGGTCAAATGAAGATACTTTCTTACAATTCATGAATCATTTCACAAAAAGTGTAAGGCCATCCAAGTCAGATCGTGTACTTTTAGTTATGGACAATCATGAAACCCACTTAAACTTAAAAACTCTTAATTTGGCTTCAGACAATGGCGTTGTCATTGTGACATTCCCCCCACACACTTCTCATAAATTGCAACCCCTAGACTTGTCAGTCTACGGATCTTTTAAATGCCATTACAACCAGTTAGTGACGGAATGGTTGTTTAACAACCCTGGACAGACTTTTGACATTTATGCTGTTGGACAAGTAGTTGGCAAGGCATATCCACGTGCGTTCTGTCCAATAAACATTTGCAATGGATTCCGGAAAGCCGGTATTTTCCCTCTTGACAGAAACATTTTTTCTGAAGAAGACTTTTTACCAGCATATGCTACTGATAGACCAGATCCAAAATCTATTGGCCCAAATGATGCAAAGGAAGGCTCAATCACTCTTCATAATTTCGAAAAGGAATCTGAGAATAGGCCTAAAGCAGTGTTTCCTGGAACCAGTGTGGACTTTAATTTACAAGGGCCATATCAACCAAATTTGAACATATCAAAAGAGACACTTAGTAAACCAGGTCCTTCCGAAATCAAAATAAATACTGACTCAAATCAGTTTCCCATACTAACAGAAAGAAAATCATCAACGGACATTGTAAACTTACTACCTGAAGACGTTGTACCTTACCCAAAAGCAAAACCAAGAAAAGCTACCAATAAAGGAAGAAAGCGTGGCAAAACCATGATTGCAACAGACACTCCGGAAAAAGAACGGTTAAAAAATGAAAAGAAAGTCTCCTTTAAACGTCGTATAAATATAGAAGAAACAAATGAACAAAATAAAGACAAATCAAAAAAATTAAAAGTAAGGAGGCAGAAGAAGAATCAGCAAAGGAAACAAGTTCAATATTCATCTTCTGAAGAGGAGGACGATATAGTTCATCTTGTAGAAACTGATGATGAGGACAGCAATGACGAGGAGTGCCTTTTTTGCAATGAATCGTTCAAAAATGACATTCATGGAGAGCAATGGATCCGATGCATGTCCTGCTTAGGATGGGCCCACGAACTCTGTGCTGCAACTAAAGAAGGGTGCAAAATATATATTTGTGATTTTTGTGTTAAACGCTGAAACAAATCTTTTCTTATATTTTTTTTTTCACTAATGTTTGTTGTTTTAGTTATTTGTAAGGTTTTATTATTTGTGAGTCATTTGGAACATGATTTATTAAAAATAATACTCTGGACATCTCTCTTTTTGCATTCCATTGACCAAAGTACCTGGGATTTATTATGTTCCAAGGTACAAGAGTACATGTTCCATGGTACATTACGGTTGTGTACCATGGAGCATTTGACATGCCAGTAAAAATATCCATTTTATTACTATTTTAAATTCTAATAATTGATAACTCTTACAAAAATATAAAGCCAACACCTAAACGAACACATTGACATACATTTTTTGTTAAATAAACAGTTACAAAAAATTAAAACATAAAAAATGTTCCATGGTACAACAGTCTCCCCTATATATGGATAAAACAATCGTTGCAAATTGAAAAAAATATGAAGCATAGTTTAAGGTGTCCTCCCTTTCCGTTTTGAGCTGGGTACGCTCTTGAGGGAGTAACAAAAAGCCAAACATGATTGCCAACGACTTCCTCCTCAACACTACTATTAGTACACAGTTTGTCTAATCGCTCTATAACGGAGTAAACGTTATGGTAAGTTTTCTAAGAAAAGTATTTGTTATGATTTATACATTATTTTGTTTTCCACTTTGTTGTAAGGAATACATGCTTCTGGCATGTAATCTTTTTCATCTGTATGTGATATGGACGCCTACCGAGTTTACGTTTCATACACTAGAAACCCAAGTTGTCCAACGGCTTGAGCTCAATGTATACGAGACGGAAGTGTGTATAGACTAGAGATGATCGATATATCGGTACGGGCGACCTTTCCCGGTGACTTGAATGGTCGCCGTTAGTCCCGGCGACCTGATTCTCCATGAAGCAGCGACCCAGATCGCTGTTTGGAAGTATCGGTATCGGTAACCACTGATCGGTAGCTGTAACGCTGTTTCGGTCGCGGTCGCCGCCAGGAAGCATATACACATCGTGTTCGCGATCATCGCGCGGGAAGTACAAGGTCGCTACAGCGTAGCCTAACCTATTTTGTTAGTTTTTATTTTTATTGTTGTGAGTTCTTGTTTCATAGAAAAATGTTTCGTTTATTAAGCAATGTTTAACATATAAAAGAAGCATTTTTATACTACATTTGTTATGTTTTAAAAGTTTTATTTTGACTGGTAAAATAGTATTTTGTTTTACTTTTTAAGATTCATAGAAAGATATTTTATGTATTTTTATGATTTTATGTGTTTTGTGCTCAATATTGTTAAAAATAAAAACCTTACATATAGTTTAATTCAAATCTTCAGGAACCTGTACATCTACACCTCCTTAATATCAATGGATAACCGCCGCCAAATATCGAGTAATTTAATCAGCGCCAGGGAGTCGCTGGCTGCTGGCAGCGACCATAGATAAGCAGTGACCTAAAGCGCTGCTAAATCTACCGGCGACTTTAAGGTCGCTGTCACCGTTATCCCGGCGACTTGCAAGTCGCTGCTAAGATCATCTCTAGTATAGACACATATTATGTTATAATGATGTAGAAGCCGGCTGGATAGCGTTGCCTAGTAACGCTGACGCGGCAATCTGCAGCGTTGCCAATATGTTACACCAGCTCCTTGAATTAAGATGCATATTGAAAATATACGTTAGTTTATTCTTTACACCCGAATAATTATTTTATTTTGCGCGAATTGAATTATGAAATGTGTCGAATCTGTCTGGGATTTTGATTCCAGATTGGTCCTAACAGCGCGTTATTTTAGGTAGTCAAAATGAAAGGTCAGGATTTCCACATATTCTGCAACATTGCATCACTGGTTCGTTTGGCAACACCGCATCTCGTACAATCAAAGGTTTCGACCTACACATAATGGCTTCCACCTGCGTATACGCAAGCAGACAAAATGTAACAACTCAGGATGTGTTGATTTTATCACCATCGGAGGATATCAAAGATAATTATAAAATAAATTAAAACACTGATCAAAATGAAAACAAAATATTAAATTAAATGTTCGAACAGACCTCCTTCATAGGTTTGAAAGTAACCTAACCTATTGTAGCAGCCTGTGCGAACATTTTGTGGTGTAATATACAGGCAACGCGGCAGATTGTACGACCTTGTGCGTCATCGTTGCTAGGCAATGTGGTCATGGCCTTAGCTCTTAAGCCGGCTTCTATCTCTTTCTAACATGCGTTGATATACACTTCTCGCGTTTCTCTCTCGTACACAATGAAAGACATACACATTTGGTGTTCCCTGTATATTACAATATACATGGACATTTATAATTCATTTCTCTCTACTCCTTGTTATGAATTCGTGAATGTTTCTTCAAGACAAACTTTAAATAAGTTTTATAATCACACACTTCGCACTTGAACCTGTTTTCGTTATTGTGTATTGATGTACCTATGCCTTAACAAGCTTTCTTTATACCATGTTTTACTGATGTATTTTGTCATTACTTTTTGAATTATGAATCTTCATATGCCTTATCAAACTACTTTTTCGATCCGTTTTATAGTCACACTGTCCACATTTCTATTTCATTTCAGAGTGCGTGCTGTTATGGTAAATCATATGCGTATTCAAGTCATATTTTTTTAGCATTTCATTGCTTGAGACATCATGCTTGACCATATGATATTTATAGTTTCTTAATGAGTATGTAACATAGTCACATTGTCCACATTTGTAATACTGAGATTTGTCATGAATCAACATATGAACATTAAAATCAGGTTTCACATGAGTTTTGTAATCACACTTGTCGCATTTATACTCAATTCCATTTCCTCTGCAATGTTTTCTTGTCATATGGCCTTTGAAGCAAAATTTATTATGTGTTTTATAATCACATTGTTTACACTGATATTTTTTATCCCATGTGCTATGGGATATCAAGTGTTTTTCAAGAAGATTTTTCTGATGTGTTCCGTAATCACACACTTCGCACTTGTGCTTCTTTTCCTTTTGATGTGTTAACAGATGGCTTATAAGGTTATCTTTTAGGTGTGTTTTAAATTGACATTGTTCACACTGATGTATTTTGTCATCACTTTTTGCATTATGAGTATTCATATGCCTTTTTATGCTATATTTTCGATCCGTTTTATAGTCACACTGTCCACATTTGTGCTTCATTTCCTTTTGATGCATTAACAGATGCCTTATAAGGTGATCTTCTCGGTATGTTTTAAATTGACATTGTTCACACTGATGTATTTTGTCATCACTTTTTGCATTATGAGTATTCATATGCCTTTTTAAACTAAATTTTCGATCCGTTTTATAGTCACACTGTCCACATTTGTGTTTCATTCCAGACTGCGAGCTGTTATGGCAAATCATATGCGTATTCAAGTCATATTTTTTTAGCATTTCATTGCTTAAGACAACATGCTTGACCATATGATTTTTATAGTTTCTTAATGAGTATGAAACATAGTCACATTGTCCACATTTGTAATCCTGAGATTTGTCATGAATCAACATATGAACATTAAAATCAGGTTTCACATGAGTTTTGTAATCACACTTGTCGCATTTATACTCAATTCCATTTCCTCTGCCATGTTTTCTTGTCATATGGCCTTTGAAGCAAAATTTATTATGTGTTTTATAATCACATTGTTTACACTGATATTTTTTATCCCATGTGCTGTGGGATATCATGTGTCTTTCAAGAAGACATTTCTGATGTGTTCCGTAATCACACACTTCGCACTTGTGCTTCTTTTCTTTTTGATTTGTTAACAGATGCTTTATAAAGTTATCTTTTCGGTATGTTTGAAATTGACATTGTTCACTCTGATAATTATTTCCTATTCCATAGTTTAACGTATGTGACACTCTAGAGGGACTGGAAACGTTTCTTCTTTTCAACATGTCAACTTTGTTGATTTTCGTTGATCTTTTACAGCTGGATCTCGGCGTTTCAGAACTCCTGAAAAAAAAATGATATTAGTGACATGACAAAAAACTGATGTTAGAAACTATGCACAAGGCATTTGTTCAAGTTGCGCGCGTTTCACGATCATGCCACATCGCGCTTCACCTGCGTTAACGAACTACATGGTATTGGTAACAATAAAAAGTGGCATTTTCTTAGATTCGATCTATTCGTCATTTGTTTATATGTAGAACCTTTGCCTATTAGTCACTGTCTAATGTGCGTTCGTTGAATCTGTCAGTCGTGGTTGCCCAGAAACCAATGTCCAGGGGAAAGAGAAAGGTGAAGGGAAGAAAAAAAAGAAGAGCAAAGAAAAACAGAAGTGTATCAGTTTAAGAGGAAACACCTAGGCTTTTTCACTTGGTACACTGATTTTGAGGAGCACTAAAAATAAATTTTGATTCTGGTTTTGGTGGAGTATAATTTCGGGTGTAATTAAAGTTAGCGCTCATTTTTTATCATGAAGACTGCATGTGTGTCTTCGCAAGAAAACACCAAGCCGCACATGCGTACGTAATAGCTGGGTCCAATAATCATTTTATATAGTCGAACTTTATCGAGCTCAATTTGGAGGATCTACATAACAAAGGATATAGTTGCCCAAACGCAATTTGAAATTTTGTTTTCAACGCTGCTGTTTGTTTCTGCCATGTCATGCCTTTATCAAAGGTGACACCGAGATACCTCGGCTGAGGGGCCGCGACGTTTGTTAGTACAATGCCTGCGTTTTCGAAATACTTTTTTTATTCAGCCACCCTTCCTCCACCACAGTCTGCAACAAATCGTGAACTAGATGACCAGTACACGACTGGGCGACAAATGCAGTGTCGTCAGCGTACAGGTAGACTTCGCAGTTGCTTGGGCATGGGACGTCGTGCTTAAAAAGCTAAATATAATAATAAAAAGTCGCAAGATTGAAGCTCAGTGGTAGATAGTATTACAACGCACGTGTTTGTTGTAAAAATTTTTATTGAAGTAACTCGAAAATTAAAATTACAATAGTGGTATACAAGCTTCCTATAACTAAGATATAAAATAAAGTGTAAAATAACTCCCCTTTTTCCACTAACACAAATACATCAGATAGACGATAGTATGTATCTAACTATTGTTTGGATATAACAGAAAACAATATCGTTTATTATAAGAACAATATATTATTTTCAAAAAATGAAATTAAAAGTAATAGGAATGTAGTCACGTGACGGAAAACCTCAATCAGAAAGTGTTAGGTCATGCCGTGTCGAACACCTCGTTGTAATTTTTATACAGAGAACAGGCTATCATGACATTAGATATTTTCAATGTTTAGCAGTGTTTATCTAGTGATTTGAATACATCTTGAAAAACAAGTTTAATTCGCTATGGAATCATGATTCATCAAAGCAAACAGCAGTATATTACGTTCTGTGTCAAACTTGGTAAAACATTTACCGAAACGCATCAGATGTTAATGCTAGAGTACGGTGATGATTATCTCGTAGAGAGCGACGTGAGTTGGCCAGCCAAAAGCTGTGATTATGCCAGAAACCGGAAAAAAATGCGTGGATTTATCGAAAATGATAAAAAATCTTTATTCAGATACATAGAAATGGAATTAAATATCTATAAAGATTCAATCCATCGCATGTTGACCAAGAATTTGCCTGAGAAAGGTGTGTTCACGGTTTGTTCCGCACAAGCTCACGGATGACCAAAAATTGCTTCGAATTCAACATTCGAGAGACATTATTAAAGAGGTCAAAAAAGATAAAAATCTTCTGTACAACATTGTGAATGGTAAAGAAATAAGGTATTTTCAATGCGATCCCGAAACCAAGCGTCAAAGTGCCGAATGGAAGCACCCAAGCGAGCCATATCCGATATAGGGGAGACTGTTGTACCTTGGGCATAGTGTACCTTGGAACACATACCATTTTTTCATAGTTCTGACATCTAGCGGCCGGAAAATAAATTTCCTAAATTAGATTACCGTTACAGATCCCTTACAATAATTTGAGCTTTCTACTGATCACCCCGTGGTTTGTGTACGAGAGGGAAGTGTGTATAGACACATATATGTTATAATGATGTAGAAGCCGGCTGGATAGCGTTGCCTAGTAACGCTGACGCGGCAATCTGCAGCGTTGCCAATATGTTACACCAGCTCCTTGAATTAAGATGCATATTGAAAATATACGTTAGTTTATTCTTTACACCCGAATAATTGTTTTATTTTGCGCGAATTGAATTATGAAATGTGTCGAATCTGTCTGGGATTTTGATTCCAGATTGGTCCTAACAGCGCTTTATTTTAGGTAGTCAAAATGAAAGGTCAGGATTTCCACATATTCTGCAACATTGCATCACTGGTTCGTTTGGCAACACCGCATCTCGTACAATCAAAGGTTTCGACCTACACATAATGGCTTCCACCTGCGTATACGCAAGCAGACAAAATGTAACAACTCAGGATGTGTTGATTTTATCACCATCGGAGGATATCAAAGATAATTATAAAATAAATTAAAACACTGATCAAAATGAAAACAAAATATTAAATTAAATGTTCGAACAGACCTCCTTCATGGGTTTGAAAGGGGTTTGCGTATGTAATTTCCAGAATAAATAAGAAAAGAAACCGGTGGAATTATCATCAAGACATATTATTAGCATACAAATCCTCACTATGCACCTGTGCACTGCCGTTTCCTTCCAGCTATAGTATACACCTACAACTTATAGCTTAGACCTCCTTTGAAGCAGATTTTACATCACATCAGAGCCAAAAATTGATAACTGAAGCATCATAACGTTTAGACAACAGTACAACTACAAAACGAGTTCACAAAAAGTGTCCATCAGCTAGTGCTAAAGTAACATCTTGTAGAAAAACCTACATAATATCACAAAAAAACCAATATAATGTCACGGCAGTCACGTACAAATATAACGCTCCAAAAATATTGTTTAAATATACTGCAATAATTTTAATGCATCCTGTGTTTGATAAAATTTCCATAAATTTTAATTACATATCACAGCAGAACTTTGTCACAATTCTATACATAAACTGTGGAAATTGCATCAATTAATATATGATAAACACTTCATGATATGAAAATAACATGTGTTACCTAATTTATTAACCGAACTGCACTGTTTTACTGTTTTTATAAAAATCCTTTATAACAAGCATTCATGGACATGTCTCAACATGCAGTAACATGCAGCCTCCTGCGTCCGTTTGCTAAATTAATTTATGAATGCCTAGACTTCTTTTGAAATAGCTATTCTAATTGCACCTATTACAATTGCATTTCTCATGCTTTCGGTCTTTCATGTGAGTTTTTTCATGCCTCCTTAGAAATCTCACTTCATGTGTTCAATAATCACACAGTTCACATTTGTATTTTTTGTTATGGGGTTTGTGTGTTTCTTCATGTTTCTTCAGGTTGTCTTTCCGATGAGCTCCAAAATCACACTGAGCGCACTTGTAGTTCTGCTGTCCCTTATTGTGAGTAATCATATGTGTTATCATGGATTGCTTAAGGTGGGCTCGATAGTTGCATAAGTCACACTGGAAATTTTTAGTACTACCCATCATATGAACTAGTGTTATATGACTTTCAACATTTGCCTTGAGATCACTTTTATAGTGGCACAGTTCACACTTGTATTTCTTATCGCTGTCAACTAGGTTATGTCTTCTTTCATGATTTTTAAGAGAATTTTTGCGATGTGTTTTAAAATCACATTGTTGACATTTGTACCTTTTTACTATAGCATGAGTTAACGTACGTCACTTTAAGTTACTCTTGTTATCGTGTTTTCCTTTTGTATTAGTGAGATGCCTCACTGTAGTAAGACTTTTCCTCGCAGATATCGTAGGCTCACCACGTTCCTTCTCCCATTGTAACTCTGGCTGAGACCGACCTTTCCTGAAAACGAAATAAATTTGTCACAAAACACACCGTTGGAGGGCATTGGTTAACATATGAGGAATGTTAGGTTATGTAAACAGAGAAACATTATACATTATAACACAAAAGTCCCGGAACGGCAAGGAGTTCAACGGTAACCTTGAATTTGAGATTCACCTTCAACGTTAATTCATGGTCAAATTTATTTTTTAGTAGCCGCTATTTTTGATGCCGGAAATCGAAAGAACAGAAAATTTTACGATCAAATACCAAGTCCAAGGTCAGGATGACTATTAAAGGACAAATGTGTGCTGCTGAAAATACCTCTATAAATCTCGCAGGATTTAATGAAAACAACTATCAAGGTCAGGTCTTTATTAAATTTTAACGAGGGAGGAAACGGTGATATTAATAATAATAATAATAGGACTTTTACACAGTACAGTGTAGCACAGGTAAAAAGGCGAAGTGTTAGTATAGCTGTTTTTCAACTTAACTCAGGTAAAAAACACAAGATTGAACATTTGCACAAGTGCACATCATAATCCACAAAAAAAGATATATACAGGGTGACTTTGAAGTTGAGTCATTAATTTTCAGATAATGATTGTAGAAGGAAGATAAACCAAAATATGTGTGTAAAAATAAAAAAAAAATTAAAAAAAATTTTTTACCTTGTTTTATAAAGTATCCTCCCGACAAGTATTTCAGTGCGGACCTGTATTTGATCGTGAGGTCCCCTGTGAGGTCTTAAGTCACCTGATTCACGAGCCCGTTGTACTACATTAACAAAGGCACGAGGGGTTGGTTGCACTCGATTGGGAAACCGATCCGCATAAACATGTGCCATTTTTTATTTCGTTTGAGCCACTATTCACACGCGACACTGACTGTATGTATAACTCAACTGAATAAAATAATAAACTGTACACAAACATCGTTCCAAATTCTTTCGCTTTTTTGTTTCCGATGCGATGAACCGGTAAGGCGGATTATATCCGTTGTTGCCAAACACGAGCACATGATATTGAGACAGGGCGGTACTCAAACTTCCAAAGGGCTATAACTTTGTTACTTTAATTTTACCAGAAAAATGGTAAAGGAAAAAAACATTTCTTTTGATCAGATCTACTCACTGTTAAAATAAATGACTCAACTTCGAAGTCACCCTGTATATTTTTCATAAAAAAAAAGTAAATAAACATAACAATGCATGATGAACGATAAACCTAATTCATAGCCAGGAACTAAGTAACTAAGACATCTAAGTAACTAACTAGACAACTAATTGTTCAGCAAGTACCTCTATTTGTTTTTTAAGTTGATAAGTGATAAGTCTTTAAGGACATCTATAATAATGCAATTTTGGTCATCCGTGAGCTTGTGAACACACCTTTCTCATGCCCAAATTCTTGGTCGAAATGCAATAGATTGAATCTTTAGAGATATTTAATTCCATTTATATGTACCTCAATGAAGAGTTTGGATCATCTTTGATAAATTCACACACTTTTTGGACGGTTTTTAACACCGGATGAGTTTCGGCAAATGTTTTACCAAGTTTGTTCCAGAACTTAATATTGGCTCTTTGTTCGATGCTCACTTTTCGACCGGTGCTAAAAAGGTACTGTCACTTTGAGCGCGATAGCTCCGCATGAAGTGGTTCGATTGTTATAAAACTTTGAAAGTGTATCAATGAAGGATGCACCTATCCAACGTTAGCCTCTGATATTAGATGACGCTACTCGTGTCGGATATCTTTCAAAAGTCCTGTTTACTTGGCGACATACCTTGTATATGAACATTTACAAAACAACGCGAGGCGGATTAGAAATCAAAATATAAGCATAGTAGGCAAGTTCTAAGGTATTTCAAAAATACTTGAAAAATGGGTATATCTTATGCTTGATGGAGATCCATACTTCAACATCATCCAATTTCATGATAATCACAAACGATGATACAAGTCAACAAAAAGAATTTCATGTAACTGAGACAAGACCAATTTTTGTAGGTTCAAGGTCCAACTGTGATCGGATATCATATATTAAAGTCCCATCTAACCTGACAAAGTTCCGCCATCTCTTTGATGTCATGCTGAAATCGCTCTTCTTTCTCATCACTGAACTCACCTAAATTGTCCGGAAAGTAATCCAAGTGTGAAATGCAATTCCAAGTTAAAATCCTTTTATTTTTCATCAGAAAATTCGACTGAATTTTCTCAGAATTGAAAATACAAAAAAAATCACCTCTTCTCACCCCTGCCCTGGCGTGGGGTTAAATCGATTCATATTCCTTTCAGATTCGCATTGCATTTTTTTAAGACTTTTATCAAGAATGCTCATTACAGCACACTGGTTAACTATGCCAAGTGAAGTCGGAATACTTAAAGTGGATTCGAATACAAAAATCATCCTCATAAACATAGAAGTGTGAAAAAAATATCTACTTACCCCATTGATCAACAACGAAAACTTCGCTATACACCACTTCACATATACAGGGAAAACCAAATTTGACACAATTCATAAATGTGTACGTTCAAAATAAGAATAATATTTGGGCGCAAAGAATAGACTAACACATATTTCCAATATGAATTTTAATCCATGGAACTGTTGTAACATATTGGCAATGCGGCAGATCGCTATCTCTTTCTAACATATGTGTGTACACACTTCTGTCTCGTACACATTAAACAAAAGCCGTCAGACAAATTTCGTTTTCAGTGTATACAAATTAACATTAAGCTAGCTAAATGGGTAGAGATGTATTAGTAGAAGTTAAATAAATCGCCGTATAATTGGAATTCAGCTCAAATTTCATATTTTGTCGAACCACTTCAAGAGAATAAACCTAAATAAAAATCATGGCATTTTTCAGTTCCAAAATCAAATCTTGCATCCAACTTACCTTGTTCGAGGGCAGCCAGCCGATGCAAATATACCTATATTGATCAATGTACAAAATATGGCGCACACGATTCTGTATGTTGGTTCATAGCTTAACTACGACATAAAAGCTTTTACTATTTATATATTTGAACACCTGTGATACCTTGGAAAAAAAATGGCGTACATCTTACACTCCGATAACAAATGAGTATAGAAAGTTTTCTATTCCTAACGTTTCTAAAATCTAATGGTTTGGGGAATGTTTAATCAATACTGAAACGCCCGCTTTTTTCACAAAATCGCAAAAAAAGCTGTCGCTGTTTGTACCTTATTTTCCCGCCATACGGCTTCACTCCTGTACATAACTCTTGTTAATCTACAGTATTCGACTGGTGATTCTTTAGGTTGTCTCACGTCTCATCACCAGCAAACTTATTTATATTGATTATAAAACTCTTACAAATTGGCGCGAATTTCATAATTTTATAACAAAAGGATAAACGTTCCAAATGTTACGAAAGGTGGCTCGAATATAAGCCGGAATTCTTTTTAAAATTTATTTATTCATAAAACAATATAAAAATGCTGTTGATCGATTCAGATGTCTCCTACTGCTTTGCAATCGGTGGTATTTTTGATCTTCGTTCAACAACTTCGATTTTGTTGGAGCCAAAATGCCTTCTGATGATTATTTATCACTTCCAAAGCGACTTCACGAATAGAGAGCCGCCTGCCATTTCCAATAAGGTCACGAACAGCACCAATGTTGTCACCAGAGACACTTGATCTTGGACGTCGATTATGACTCACATTTTCTACATGTTATCGTCAAACTGTTTGGCAAAATCGAATACCTGAGTTTTAGATAGGGTATCATCCCCATACTGAGCCTTCAATCGGACCAAAATCTCGCACGGTTTAACGCCCCCCTTCTTCAAAAGCTTCATTATAACTCGTTGCGCAACGGACGGTGGAACCCGTTGCTCACTCATAGCTGTACTGGCTTGGTGAAACAGCTCACCACGCGTTATCCCCACTTCTTATACTACTCCACTATGAGCGCGCTCGTGATTGGCTAATAAAAGTATTTGTAAAAAACCTGTTTATATTTGATCCAGCCTCGTATTTTGAGAGGTAATATCTGTGCCTCAGAGTCAAACTAGGTTAAGTTCAAATAAGTAGTTTTGAGATAATTGTATTTGGAATATTTTTCTTGCATTGTATTGTATGTGACTTGGAATGAGTTAAAAGCTCCTAACTTCCTTATTATTACAGATAGATTGACGCTGCATGTTGCTAATGAAAATTCACAATACTATGATAAGCTTAACATATTACACACATTTTTGACAAAAATGGACTTGACCTAGTCTGGCTCTGGGGTACAGATATGGTAAATGTGATGTTACAATCTATAATGGATCTTTGGACCATGCATGCATATAAATAAGTATGGCTACTATATTATGTGTTATGCTGTATATTGTTGTTATCAGTTCATTTATAGCCTAATTGTAGTGCTCTAACTGACCAATAATGTGGAAAAATCACATGTTTTTTTTTCGACAAAATTTCTATACATTATATCTTCAACCTATAATTTCGCATCAAAGATGAATAAGTTCTTCCATGTGAAGTGACTCGACTTCTGTCATGGATGTTAGTCACGCCTTCATCAGATGAGGGAAAAATAATCGTCAGTTAGAAACATGATATTGACAGTATTGTCACCACTCTTAAAGTCATGAGCTATCACACAAATACTATACATATCAAAACGTAATTGATAAATTTATATGGCGTTTTTTTTGCTTTAAAACTCCCTCCACCACTGGTAGTTTGACTCGCATATTACAAACAATCAGTATTATGGAAAAGAATACCCTATTTACGAGATATACGATGGGATGTCTTTCACAACTATATGGGTAGTGTTCTCACTACAGTGAATTTTTAAGTGTCACCAAGTCGTGAGAAGAATGGAACTCAACCGAGAACATTTTCGCGCCATAATTTATTACAACTTTCAGAGACAATTATCGCAACAAGAATGCCTTGCTGGGTTACTGTCTGTTTTCGGCAACGAAGTCGACAATTTCCTGTTGGTATGGAGAATTCAAACGTGGACGGGTGAGTCTTAGGGTGCACCAAAAACGGCAGTCACCCAGGAAAACGTCGATGCTGTGCGCAAACTCATCATTGAAGATAGACATGTGAGATATAGCGAGATTGAGGCGTCCTTGAAGATCTCAAATACCTCAATTCAAAAAATTTTACATGAAGAATTAGGAGTAAGAAAATTAGTTTCTCGTTGGATACCCCACCTGTTGACTGAAGAGCAGAAAGCAGCCAGTGTTAATTGGTGTCAAAAAACACTTGACCATTTCAATTCTGGAAACTCAAAAAATGTGTACAGCATTGTTAGTGGTGATGAATCGTGGATTTACTGTTATGAACCAGAAAATAAACGACAGTCGGCTGTTTGGGTGTTCCAACGTGAAGAAAAGCCAACAAAAGTAATCCGTTCTCGAAGTGTTTCGAAAAAGATGGTCGCGACAATTTCTCTTAATGGGCAAAGAACTGTTACTGCGGATTGGTATACCACCATTTGTTTGCCAAAAGTCATCACCAAGCTTCGAAAAATCAACCCCGAAAGAAGAATCATCCTCCACCAAGACAATGCAAGCTTGCACAAGTCCAAAAAACAAGGCAGTATTTAACGGAAGAAAACGTGGAATTATTCCACCATCCTCCATATAGTCCCGATCTAAGTCCTAACGATTTCTGTACTTTCCCGAAAATTGAAAACAGACTGCGTGGTCAAAGGTTCCAGTCACCAGAAGAAGCAGTTGACGCATTCAAAAATGCCGTTTTGGATCTGCCAGCAAACGAGTGGAAAAAGTGTTTCGAAAATTGGTTCGAGATGAGAATTAATCTACGTGGAGAATACTTCGAAAGCAATAAAGAGAATACTTCGAAAAACAATAAAGTCATTTAAAACTACGTACGTGTTGTTTTATTTCCATATGTAAAACTTAAAAGACATCCCTCGTACAGATGATTCAAATGCAATAGTTTCACTTATGCTTTGCCCAACCCAAAAGCAGAAAACAGAAACAAATTGCATGATATTGAAAAGTGTAAGTTTTCAATGTATACCAGCTATTGAAAATTCATTTTGCCTTGGTAAGACTGACAAGAAGGATCAGGGACAATAAACCTTATTTCACGAGTATCCATCATGCTTTGAGGTGAACAGCTGATCACAAATGCGACATCTTTATGTTAATTTGTAACATTTGCAATAATAATAAGTTCACAAATTTGGCATTTTTTCCCAAAATTCACCCATTTTTGATGTAGCTCAATTTTTTTATATGAGCACATGGTTGCAACAGTTTCTACTACGAATCCATAATAAAACACTAAGGCACAAGACATACATCAACATAAGACCCACTGATCTAACACTAAAAACAAATGTTCAAGTCTCATTACAGTTGTGTATGTTTATAGACCCTATCCTTTGGAATATTTTCAGCACAAAGTACATACTATATTTATACTTATACCATAGAAGATTAAATTCTATATCAGTCAAAGTGGAGTAACACAAACCAGTGATGATTGTTTTGCAAAGATATCTGGGTATTGACCAGAAGAAGTCTTTGCACTGGCCTGTGAAACAGGATCCGGCTAGGTGGTGAGTATGAAAATAAAAGCGGCATTTTTTCCATTTCAAGCTAGCAGAGCCCTGGTCTTGGTTATTAAATATTTGTGCTTTTTTTATTAAGTTATCTTGGATTTCATAAGATTTTGTATATATTTTGAGGAATATAGCAACATAAAATATAATATAGTAGAAAAATAGTAGAGTTTACCTGAAGCCACCATATTCAAACAACAAATAATGGCTATACAAAGAACAACTGAGGACATTAAAATCAAAACTGAATGTCTTTTAGAAGACGAATGTTGAGATTTCTTTGCAGATATTGTACACTGCACACATAGTATGATTCAAATGGAACATACACGAAAAAACTGCAAGTATTTATTACTTTCTAGCAACCCCTGAATAAGTTTAAAGCAATTGGAGCAACTTATTCCTATACCCCTTCGTTTGTTGATGTACTAATATTGGTAGCTTCAGCTAATTTCATCTGAAAATGAATATTCAGGTAAACTCACGATTCATTGAGGTTTGCAATCAGCAGGCGCACAGTCAACTGGGGGCCCATGGGACAGTGGAATTCATGCTTGTCTCTGATTTCAGCTGAGGGAAACTCATCAGTACAATAGCAGCAACAGTTGTAATCGAAGCTTTCTATGTTTTTTACTGGAAATAAGTAAACTTATTATCATAACAGAATGAGAAATATCAAAAAAAACTATATGGAATATGGGTTATTAATCACAGCAGATTCAACTCAACATCATGAGTATACAACTTTAGCCAGCAGCGGTGGCCGCAGTAGTAGACTCTTCGGTCTCCTGACCAGTCGCCGTGCGCTGTGCGCGTTCGAATCCCGTCCCATGAGAAACTTTTCTCTTGGCTATGGTTGTTGTGATTGTCCATAGGTGATAGGTGGGCTCTGACTGTCGAACGCGGAGGTACCACCCGGCGGATCTTGTAGGTGGAGCCAGAATGTGTGCATGTTGCATGCACACGTGGTCCCTCGCCAGAGTCCCTTTCCCCTGTATCCCCCTATAGCCCCATGGTACCCAATGGGTGTTTAGGCCTTAGGCCTTCGTGGTAGTTAGAGTATAAAAAAAATAGTATGGGCCTCAGAGTAAAAGCTTTCATACAGATAAAGAATCAGGGCTTTTGAAAAACTGCACCTGAATAGTTTTGGCCCTACTTACAGGTTGTGTCCCTAGCTACCTATGAGTATTTGGTGAAACTGCTTTTCCAAAATAGTTGACCATTTAAACACTTGCATTGTGACCCTACTATCCCTCCTACAGGTCATCCCTAAACATTCCAAGTCAGCTAAATTCATAAGGTGATTTGTGTACTTACCGATATCGACCTCCTCGTTAATAACAGGTCTAATGCCAACTTCGTTATCAGATATACTGATATCTTCTTTCACATCCACGTCCCCCGCTTGGGACATCTTGGGATGAATGTTCAACAGCGTCTTTCGAGACAAACGTTGTACTCTATATATGTTTTTTTAATTGGAAACTTCCAGCTTCATACAATCATTGTTTGTTTCACGTCCGCTGTGATATCTTGCGACCATGAGGTATCATCAACGGCGGCTTTCAACGTGTTGAGGTTATTCTGCATCCGATTTTCAATGAGATACTCACAGCAGTTTTATTAGTGTTTGTACAAAATTACAGCGAGAATATTTAGAACGTACATGCAAATGGCATAACACTTCACAACTACTTGAACAACAATATAATCTCTTTCATCCTCAAGCTTTAATGTTTAAAGACACAGACAAAACATAGATATACACTACACTGAATGACAGTAATGACACTGAAGAAGGTTTAGTCACGTGGGCAGCACGGTTGACTTATGTCAGTGTCAATCGCCATTTTTTTCTAGATGCCACATGGTTGCCAGATATAAAAAATTGGTAAGACTATACTTTAGCGAATATCCCAAATACAGTTCTTACTTTAAAATGAATGATTAGGATGTAACTTTTACGAAAATATCATTTTTTCTTTAAGGAATCCTCTGCTTGCTATTTTATAGAACTTCGAAGTTGCATGTTTGATAGTAATAACGGGTGTTTTTTTTTAGAGGCGGAGAACTTTCATTTGGCAACACTGTTTTGTGTGACAGCCGATCTGACAGTTCTGGGTTGTTTTTAGGTTAGTTTGGTTTGGCAATTCATCATGAATAGACTGACGCCGGAGCAACGTTTGCAAATTGTTCAAATTTATTTTGAAAGACATGGTTCAATTCGAGAAACACATCGGGCATTACGTGAATTTTATGGTGCCCATAATCGTCCTTCAGAGCGATTAATTCGAGAAACTGTTGATCGTTTTCGCAATACTTTTACTCTAATCGACAATACGCATCCCGTAAGACGCCGTACAGTGCGCACGCAACAAGCGATAGCTGCTGTGTGTGCAGCGTAGTGTTGATAATGATGCCAATGTGTCAATTCGTCGTCGTTCTCAACAAGTGAATTTGTGTCCATCCACTGTATGGAAAATTTTGCGCAAAGATCTTGGGTTGCGAGCATATAAAATTCAACTAGTCCAGGAGTTGAAACCCCGGGATCATCTATTGCGGCGTACATTAGCTGAATGGGCGGAAGGAAAGATTGCTGTTGATCCAAGATTTCATATGAAAATTTTGTTTAGTGATGAAGCACACTTTTGGTTAAATGGCTATGTAAACAAACAAAATTGCCGAATTTGGGGTGATGAGAATCCACGAGCTATTGTCGAAACACCTTTACATCCAGCAAAACTAACCGTTTGGTGCGCTTTATGGGCCGGTGGAATCATTGGTCCTTATGTCTTCAGAAATGCTGATGGTCAGAACGTTACAGTAAACGGTGAGCGATACAGAAACATGATTACTAACTTTTTGTGCCTCACTTGGAAGGTGTTGCAGGCGTTGCAGAAATGTGGTTTCAGCAGGACGGTGCCACATGCCATACAGCGCACCAAACAATTAATTTACTGCAAGAGACATTCGAGCAACGAATCATTTCCAGAAATGGACCTGTAAACTGGCCACCTCGTTCGTGCGACTTGACGCCATTAGATTATTTTCTTTGGGGCTATGTTAAGTCGCATGTCTACGCTGATAAACCCGAAACACTTGAGCACTTGGAAGCCAACATTCGGCGCGTGATTGCCGAAATACAGCCTGCAGTACTGGAAAGAGCGTGTGAAAATTGGACCTCTAGATTACGCCATGTACGCGCAAGTCGTGGGGGTCACATGCCCGAAATCATATTTAAATGTTAATGCCAAAAAATTATCTTCAATATAAAAGCAAATTCGTTAATATCAATAAAATATTTTGTGTTTTATTTCAATTCAAAGTTCTCCGCCTCTAAAAAAAACACCCTTTACTATAGAATAGAATACTGTTTTATATGCTGTCTTTTTTTGCTTTTTGTACAAAAGGATGCTCTAAATTATAAGAATAAAACATACACTGTATAGTACTAAGGAAAATAGATGTGAAACTGTAAAAAATCGTTGTTTTTTGCAAAAAAAGGTTCAAAACCAGACGTGTTATTACACATTAGCTTATTAGCTTAAATAACAGATCAAATACATCATTAAAATAATTCAAAATTGCATTATTGCGATAAACAGTATCACAGTAACTTGCAGTATGTTATATTCATATAATTTTGAACAATCTTTTGTATATCAAGAAGAAAACAGCTTAAAGAAAAAATGATATTTTCGTGCACGTTACATCCTAATATTTCATTTTAAAATAAGAAATGAAATATTTGCAATATGCGCTAAAGTATAGGTCAGTCAAAAAATTGAATCCAAACTTGTACAAACATACAGGGTGATACATTTGAAATTTTTGAGTAATTCAGCACTCCGAATTTCAAAATGGCGGATTGACGGAGAAGTGGACGGTTTTTCTCGACAAAACACCTTACATTTCAGTAGCTAAATACCAAAACCCCATAGTATATTATATCAATTTTCTTATTTTGAATTGGTTTATCCAAGTAGGCAATAAAATTTGAGGCATTCCATTTGAAAAATCACAACTTTGATATGTAGGTCGAAATTGGGACACCCTATGTAATGGCCAATATTTTAGAAATGTACCCTCCCATGAATAGATTTTGCCAAAATGTATTTGTTATAAGTAATATTCCGTCCACACATGGATGGGTCACCCTGTATACATAAAACATAAGTGGTAGGAATAAAACTTTAAATGGGATTTAGTAGATTTTATGTACAAAATAAGGTACACACACAAACAAAAAACGATTACTAATATTTGAAAGAATCGCTCTTATTCAACAAACTCTTAATCTTGAAACTATCCTGCAGATAAAATACACTGCTGTCTTCTCTGATCCTGGCTGCCCTACACGTGCCTATCAAACTGGCTGTACTGCGACTTTGGTACTTCTGTTTAGCTTCCTTTTGATCACAAATCTTTATACCTGCGCTTTCTTCCTTGGGAATATATCTTTGAGGTGGCTCTGTCCCGTTTTGACTCAGTCTACTGTAATTCTTGGATTGTGGCAAGGTACCAGACCATCGTTTTGCGTTCAGACGTCGAGGTCTGGAGTTTTGGACGTTTTGGATGAGCTCGGTTAATTCCATGCGGTCAGCTGGTGGCAGCGTGGAGGTTACCTCTTGAAACATCTATAATAAGCATTTTTTGATGTATTAAAACTAAAATGAATTTAAGAGCTTATAAATTCCGCGTTCTTAGTTACTTACACTTAACTTTTGCATAGATGCCAGTGCTTTGAATATATCACCTCCGCCTCTGTGTTCTCCTCGTCTATGACGTTTTCGTAATAATAGGGTCATGGGACTAGCGAGTTTCAAATGATCGTGTTGGGGAATCCCATCTTCCAAATGTTTATCGTTCTCTGAAAAGTATTAACTGAACTTTAAAATCATATGTAATCCTAAAGGAAACTTAACTATAGGGTCCGTCAGAAAGAACGCATGTTTTTCGAATGGGTACTACATAGAGTGGACTGGTCCCGTGTCGGTGGGGAAGGGCGTGTTGGATAGTGGGAGAAGTGCGTTTTCAGCTGGCAAGATGGTTTGGAACGTTGAGCATCGTGTGTTCACTGTACATCGGTACTTTAAAAATGGCAAGTCTGTCGTTCGAACACAACGTGAGTTTCGCGTTCACTTTCGTGTCCCACGTCGTGGGACAGTAACAGACCGTAACACCACTTTTAGGTAGGTGGATGCATTCCACACAACAGGTAATGTGATGAAAAAACCGCCAGGGCGAAACCCTATTGTTAGAACCCCCGAAAACGTAGTTTCGTATGCGCATTCATTTCGGGCTGATGAAGCCAACCAGCAGAAATACGTATAGCTCGGGTTACCTATCCTATTTACTGCTCGAATGCACTTTCCTTCTTTTTGCGGATTTTGCCCATTATTTTCCTACTTTTTGTTATATACCTATATATATATATATATATAGTCATTTATTTCATAAAATATCAAATAACGTTATACACTAACCCTATAATAATTTCACATCTTATACAGGGTGACTTTGAAGTTGAGTCATTAATTTTCAGATAATGATTGTAGAAGGAAGATAAACCAAAATATGTGTGTAAAAATAAAAAAAAATGTTACCTTGTTTTATAAAGTATCCTCCCGACAAGTATTTCAGTGCGGACCTGTATTTGATCGTGCGGTCTTGGAGCACCGGCATGCCGTCCCCTGTGAGGTCTTAAGTCACCTGATTCACGAGCCCTTTGTACTACATTAACAAAGGCACAAGGGGTTGGTTACCCTCGATTGGGAAACCGATCCGCATAAATCCGTGATGCCGCGTAAATAAGAATCATGTCCACAAGTTCAGCATTTTCGTAAACATGTGCCATTTTTGATTTCGTTTGAGCCACGCAACAGACACCACTATTCACTCACGCGTTACCGACTGACACTGACTGTATACTACTGAATAAAATAATTGTAAAAACATCGTTCCAAAATGTTTCGCTTTTTTGTTTCCGATGCGATGAGCCGATAAGGCGGATTATATCCGTTGTTGCCAAACACGAGCACATAATATTATTATTGAGACAGGGCGGTACTCAAACTTCCAAACTTTGTTACTTTAATTTTACCAGAAAAATGGTAAAGGAAAAAAACATTTCTTTTGATCAGATCTACTCACTGTTAAAATAAATGACTCAACTTCGAAGTCACCCTGTAGATATTGATTCAGTTTGTGGAAAACCCTGTACATGGACAGTTTAACTTTAATAAAAACTGTTCTTTTCGTTTAATTTTTGTCGAGCTAGAGGAAAGGGGGAGCATCTGCCCCGCTTGCCCCCTAGGTACGCCCATGGTCTGTACTGAAACTGATTAATCATTTGGTCTTACTTCCGGTTAGTATAGAGTTGAAATAGCAGTTCGGTAAGGTATTTTGGGTCCTTGCTTCAGATTTGGCAACTGATAGGTCTAGAGTTTTACTTCCAGTTTGTATCTCCTTCTTTTGGTAAGAAGGTAGCGACAGTATGTGTCTGTAAACCTTGCCTCTTTCCTCTATGAATACTACTCTCAGCGTGCTTTTCTCAACCTAAAAATATAAGGTACCTAATCAACATAGTCGCTGGGACTAGAAACACGTCATAAATTAACAAAAAGCAAGAATGCAATCCTGCACGGGTATTATGTAAAAAACCCATAAAAAAAACTATAAAATATGATCTTGGAGACTAAGTACGTAGTTTTTAGTGTGCAACCAGTCATTCCAGCTTTGCTCACTAGGATCGTTGTGAGCGTCCATCTATGGAAGAATGACTCAACTACACGCATTGTTGGTTACATACGCTTTGTGGAGCCGAGTAGTCTGTAGTTTTTATCTCTGAGAGAAAAGTTGGTTGAATAGCAAGATCGCATCTGGATGATTATGTGTATTGATATGCATGTGTATAAAATCAGTGATATTTGCCGTGTGAGAAAACTGAATATGCTGCCAATAAAGTATATCTATTAGCTATGCCCGACGGGTTATGCTCAAATGATTCACGATTTTTTACGTTTTTTGGAGTTTTTAGCAGCAAGTTCAGTTTTCAAGAAAAGTAGAGATTTTTCAAAAAGGAAAGTGATAAGAACAAAATTACTCACTCGTTGCATTGTTCCATATAAGAGGAATATTCACACACAACTTCAGAGCTGTACTTATATTTGTTAACAAGTTCCGATGGAAGAAAAACTAGACAATAAAATGCACAAAAAATGCATTTTCGACAAAAAGTTTGTCACCTTAAGGAACGAGATTAGATTACGTATGTACGAGCCCCTTCCCACTTGCAATTACAGCATATCAACCTATTTTCATTTCAATGCAAAATAAGTCTATAACGCATAGGTGGCTGTGAAAAATAAAAGCCATGAAAATTGTTTTTATTAATCACAGCTGTCAGAATACGTTTAAAATAGTTTTGGGTAGTTAAGGTTTTCAAAATGGGTAGAGGGAAGGTTATTAGTGAGAAAATTCGGTTACTGATAATTAAATTTTTCAATTCTGGGAAATCAAACTCAGAAATTGCAACTTTGTTAGACTTATCACGGTACAGTGTGAAAAATATTGTTAGAAGATATAACGTAACTGGTTCAGTTAATATGAAGCCACGATATGTGAAAAAAATTAATATCACAAATGCCGACCGAAGAGCATTAAGAAGAATAATCGTGAAAAACAGGCGTGCCAATTATTTACAATTAAGTGCTCTGTGGAGTGACGCTGTTGGAAGGAGAATTTCGAAGTCCAAAACTCATAGAGAGGCCCACAAACTGGGATTTAACACTTGCACGGTAAGTTTTCTTATAAAAAAAAGTGAAGTAAAAACCCTAAAGTTGCACAACTTGTTTATAGGCCAAAGAAAAGCCACTATTAACTCCACTGCAAAAGAAATCGGCTTAGATGGGCTAAAGAACATAGACAATGGACACCTCAACAATGGTGTGCAATACAATGGAGTGATGAGGCCCGATTCGAAGTTTGTGTTGGTGACAGTCGCAGTAGCGTTATTTGCAAAAAAAATGAAGCATTCCATGTTGACTGTCTGAAGAGAAAAATGAAATTTCCAGCATTCATTATGGTCTGGGGCAGTATATCATCAAAAGGAGTAATAAAACTTCATTTTATTGATGGAAATTTGGATACAAACAAATAGTTGGAAAACTTAGAAGAATCGCTTTTACCAGTGATGGAAGAACGTTTGACATCCGGCCAAAATTTTGTGTTTCAGCAAGATGATGCAGCGTGCCATACCTCAAAAAAAGCTATAAAATGGATGGAGAAAAATCATGTACCACTTTTGAAATGGGTTTCTAGCAGTCCAGATCTGTCACCTATTGAAACTTTGTGGCACGAGATGAAAAAGGTTCTACGACAACATCCTGCTCGTACAATCACCGAACTGAGACAAAAGCTTCAAGAAATATGAGATTGTATTACACCAAATTTTTGCCAAAACTTGGTTAACACTATGCCCCAAAGAATTTCAGCCATAATAAAAAATAGAGGTGATGTTACCCAATGGTAATCTTTCAATTGTTGCTTTGTTAACTTCGCGCATTTATTCGCACGTTGTTTATTTGTTCAGATGTTCTATTAGTTATAGGTCTACGTGATTTCAAATATGTATTTTTTACGACTAGAGCGTATCTAAAATGTTTTTGAGAAAATGAATTGTTTTAGAAGTAAATAGTTTCATCATGTTTAGTTTATAAAGGCATATTTTGGTACAAATCTTGAAGTGGACCAACTGAAGTGGAAGGGCTTGTGCAGTATTTCCATTTTATCTTATTATAAATTCTGTTATAATTTGTATGTGACACCAGATATGTTAGATACATAAAAAAGTAAGTTTATTTTTTAATTATGTACATTGTTTAAGATTCATATATTTTCTTGTTGAGTTTTGTTCTATTAATTTTCTATGAAAATCTAATAAAAGTCAAAAATTGTTTTTTATTGTACCATTGATTTGTCTAACCTCACTTTTGCACTGTATTTTTTATATATTTTTATAAGTTAGGTAAGTAAATAAATTAAAATTTAAATATTTTTTTCAGTTGAAGTATTCAAAAAGTTTTCATATTTAAATGAATCCAGGTAATCAAAACAGCGATATAGGAATACTCTCTTCTTTGTATTCAAATCTTGAGTATTCTAATACAATATGAAATGCAGGATTCGTATTCGAATACGAGATTTCACTATTCGACCCATGTCTGATAGTTGCTGATATTAGAAGTGTCATGAATTAATAAACAGATTCGCTGAAGTATTGAACTTGGAGAATATCGAGTCATGTGAGATTGCTGGCGATTCGAAATATATCGGAAGCTAAAATATAAAACCATTTCGGGTTAGACAAGTATATTCAAGAGACCTCACAAAGCACAATTGAGAGACTCAAAACTTACCATGGTCAACATGCTTTTGGCCCAATTCCAATCTTTATTAACCGCATCTATCAATCCTTGTGCCGGCGTGATTTTCGCAGAATTCACTAGCTCCGAAAAGGTTCCGAGTGCCTCTATCTCATCACTACTAGCTCTTTTCTTGATAGAGTCGATATGCCACGATATAGCATGAGAAGCTGCAAATAAGTTGCTGAGATAAGGTCGCAATAGAGGTCCGAGGTATCTCTTGTTGTAATCCATGGCCTTGTAAAGCCATTTCAGTATGGTTTTCACCAAGACCATGTCATCCTCCAAATTTAAGTTCATTAATTCTTTGTCCTTTCGCATAAGGTCCACAAGTTTCGCTGTCGAGCTACAATAGTTGTTGTTAATCTTGAGTTTGTTCTTCAGTATGTTTGGGTTGGTTTGTGATGACAGATATTGGTCTCTTGCTTGGTCCAAAATGTCAACTAAGATGAAGATTATATCGTCCAGCGGTTGGTCTTGATCAGAGGTTTCTAAGTTGATGGTTTGGTCAAAACAAGTGTGGTCAGTCTGAAAACAAAAATCGCAATAAACATAAAGTAGAACCTTAACACATGTGTGTTCCTCCTCCATTTTTTACTGAAGTAAGATACCAGGGGTTTAAAATGTAACTTATTGTTAACTTGTTAAGTTGGGTAGGTGGGCGGCCGATTTATGGCTATCGGGGAGAACGGTAAGTAAACACAGAACTGATTTGACTTAAATTTTGATGGGGGACAGAGGGAGGCGAACATTGTCAAAAGAACTTTCTGTGAAACTACCTGACCTCAAAACTTTATGGAGGGAGGGGTAGCAAATTTTTTCAGGAGGCCAACTTTAAAGTCCAATCGGATGTCTTTGGATTGATGTGAATTTAGCATTATCTTCAAATAAGAGGTTTCTTTTCTGATCTACTATCGATATCTCCATCATAAATTCGGGCCCGTATTTCAAGCAGAGATGTCGATGCTACATCAGACAACGAACCTCCAATTTTAAATCTTCGAACACGTGCATATATTTTTGCTGCTATCGAAAAGGAAACTACATCTCACGATTTCATTAAGTTTTGAGTAATGGTAATGGAGCTGCATGGTCTGTTTCGAATCACACGCTACATTCAGATCTCAATATTCCTCCTCTCAGTGAGCTTATCAACTTGGAATTAAGGCATACACAAGAGCAGACAGCTATTCAAACTCTCTGGTAAGGGAGACTGTGAATTACCCTGTGGTTGATGCTCAGAAACACAACAACGGCCAAAGCTAGCCCTACAATGATTAATGCACCTTTATTAATTGCTCTTCTATTCACAATTTCTGTTATGTACTAATCTGATAGGGTTAGGTTCGCGCTCTTGCTGCAAGGACCGTTTCATTTGGAAAAATAAGCTAAAGACCCTCGGTCTGCTCGGTATGAATAGATGTCAGGTCACACAGAACTGATTTGACTTAATTTTTGATGGGGAACAGAGAAAGACGAACATTGTCAAAAGAACTTTCTGTGAAACTACCTGACCTCAAAACTTTATGAAGGGCGGGGTAGCAAATTTTCTCAGGAGGCCAACTTTAAAGTCCAATCGGATGTCTTTGGATTGATGTGAATTTAGCATTATCTTCAAATAAGAGGTTTCTTTTCTGATTTACTATCGATATCTCCATCATAAATTCGGGCCCGTATTTCAAGCAGAGATGTCGATGCTACATCAGACAACGAACCTCCAATTTTAAATCTTCGAACACGTGCATATGTTTTTGCTGCTATCGAAAAGGAAACTACATCTCACTTCGATTTCATTAAGTTTTGAGTAATGGTAATGGAGCTGCATGGTCTGTTTCGAATCACACGATACATTCAGATCTCAATATTCCTCCTCTCAGTGAGCTTATCAACTTGGAATTAAGGCATACACAAGAGCAGACAGCTATTCAAACTCTCTGGTAAGGGAGACTGTGAATTACCCTGTGGTTGATGCTCAGGAAACACAACAACGGCGAAAGCTAGCCCTACAATGATTAATGCACCTTTATTAATTGCTGTTCTATTCACAATTTCTATTATGTACTAATCTGATAGGGTTAGGTTCGCGCTCTTGCTGCAAGGACCGTTTTATTTGGAAAAATAAGCTAAAGACCCTCGGTCTGCTCGGTATGAATAGGTGTCAGGTCACACAGAACTGATCTGACTTAAATTTTGATGGGGAACAGAGGGAGGCGAACATTGTCAAAAGAACTTTCTGTGAAACTACCTGACCTCAAAACTTTATGAAGGGCGGGGTAGCAAATTTTCTCAGGAGGCCAACTTTAAAGTCCAATCGGATGTCTTTGGATTGGTGTGAATTTAGCATTATCTTCAAATAAGAGGTTTCTTTTCTGATCTACTATCGATATCTCCATCATAAATTCGGGCCCGTATTTCAAGCAGAGATGTCGATGCTAGATCAGACAACGAACCTCCAATTTTAAATCTTCGAACACGTGCATATGTTTTTGCTGCTATCGAAAAGGAAACTACATCTCACTTCGATTTCATTAAGTTTTGAGTAATGGTAATGGAGCTGCATGGTCTGTTTCGAATCACACGATACATTCAGATCTCAATATTCCTCCTCTCAGTGAGCTTATCAACTTGGAATTAAGGCATACACAAGAGCAGACAGCTATTCAAACTCTCTGGTAAGGGAGACTGTGAATTACCCTGTGGTTGATGCTCAGGAAACACAACAACGGCCAAAGCTAGCCCTACAATGATTAATGCACCTTTATTAATTGCTGTTCTATTCACAATTTCTGTTATGTACTAATCTGATAGGGTTAGGTTCACGCTCTTGCTACAAGGACCGTTTCATTTGGAAAAATAAGCTAAAGACCCTCGGTCTGCTCGGTATGAATAGGTGTCAGGTCACACAGAACTGATTTGACTTAAATTTTGATGGGGAACAGAGGGAGGCGAACATTGTCAAAAGAACTTTCTGTGAAACTACCTGACCTCAAAACTTTATGAAGGGAGGGGTAGCAAATTTTCTCAGGAGGCCAACTTTAAAGTCCAATCGGATGTCTTTGGATTGATGTGAATTTAGCATTATCTTCAAATAAGAGGTTTCTTTTCTGATCTACTATCGATATCTCCATCATAAATTCGGGCCCGTATTTCAAGCAGAGATGTCGATGCTACATCAGACAACGAACCTCCAATTTTAAATCTTCGAACACGTGCATATATTTTTGCTGCTATCGAAAAGGAAACTACATCTCACTTCGATTTCATTAAGTTTTGAGTAATGGTAATGGAGCTGCATGGTCTGTTTCGAATCACACATTTTCTCAGAGGGCCAAATCCCAACTTAAGGTCCAAACCAGATTCGTAGGAGGGGCCCCGTTTCTATAACGGCTTAGGAATAGAAAATTCTACATAAAAGTTATACAATCTAATATAAAGCTCTTTGTGCTGTTTTTTTATACAGAAGACTCCTCACGAATAAAGCTGCATTTTTCTAAACTAGACACTTTCAATAGCACTGACGCCCTGTATAACTACAACAAAGATATTTCATGAAAAAATGTATACAGAGTGTAAACGTTATGATAGTCATTATTTAAATGGGTGATAGAGGGGGTTAAACGGAGCAAAAAGTTTCATATAACATGGAGGTCAAACCGACATTTTTTGAGAGAAAAGCGACTTTAAAGTAAAATAAAATCTGACAACGTCGCAATGCCAAACGCAAATTACGACGGAACGCAGTGTAAATAAAGATGAAGTTTGTTATTTTTAGGTATTATTTCATTATTTGATAATGTACTCCTAGAATGCAAACAATTAAAAAAACGGACTTACCACTAGCTGCCTCAGCGCTTCACCTGGGGTGTGAAAGTTTATTGAACGTATTAAAAAAATTCACATATAAATAGGGAACACAATTTTGATATATACGTTGTTTTTCTTTTTAAAACCCATATAACAACTTTCTGTATTTAAAGAAGGTGTTCAAAATGTCGTCCTCCACTTTCCACACAAGCTTCATTACGACGAACCCAGTTTCTTCTTACTCTAGGTCCTCGAAGTTGTCCATTTATCATTTCAGCCGCATTTAATTTTTTTTCGCGAAGTTGTGCTTCAGTTGTTATTGAACCAGCCCCATAAAATCATCCCTTTAAGTTCTCCCCAATACAGTGTGAGTCTTCATAAAGTGCACATATCAAACTACACTCTATTTCATCGACGGATAAATCATCAAAAAAAAATTAAAAACAATAATTGATTTTTTATGAATATTTTAAAATTTTTAGAGTCAGCTGCTAACCCTATTTAAATAAATCGTTAAAACTTTTAAACTGAATGTCCTATCATATTGGAATACATTTTGTAGTGATTGCTGGTAAAAGGACGTGCCTGAAAAGTGAAGAATTCCAGGAAAAGTAATGACATACATTTAGAATAAAGAAAATTTTGATGAAAATCTGTTTTTTTTTCATCATTTTTACAATAATTTCAAATTTTCTATAAATATCGTCCCTTGTACCCTACCTTTTTTTATTGGTAAGTTATTCTACATGTTATCAGCTTTATAAAAGGAAAAATTGCACGTTTATTACTCAAATGTAACAGTTTCTATGAGTGTTTATAAAAAAACCCATGCGCATCGTCTTGCTAGGCACCATTGTTTATCATGTAGATACCTTTTTTTGGTGATTCAATGTAGAGTCGCGCGGGCTGAAGTACGAGTGGGGAGGCGGGCCCAGTTGAAAAACAATTGAATGTTGGGCAGTTAGGCAGCTATTTTTGTTTCTCCTGCCAACTTTATCAGTTTCGTTTGCTACATATCACGCTTTCGCGTTTTGGTCGCGATGCCACGTATAAGTGATTTCCCTCCGGCACACATTGCCGATATCCATTATTATTATGGAATGTACCGAGGGAGTGCTAGAGCTGCTTGCACAGCTTATCTAGCTGCATTTCCAAATCGACTCCCTATTCCATCAGCCCGTAACTTCCAAGAAGTACATAGAAGACTGGCTAACACTGGACTTGGTTTGCCTCGAGATCGCCGCGAACTAGGTGTTATTATTCATGTTGCTATCGAAGAAGCCATTTTGGATGATTTGTTTGCTGACCCGAGTACTAGTACGAGACGTTTGGCGTTACGTCATGGCGTATCCCAGAAATCGGTTTGGCGCATCTTGAGGAAAGCAGGGTTGCATCCATACCATTATCAAAGGGTGCAGCACTTGCATGAAGATGTGGATTGGCGTCCAAGGTGCGTTATGTCTACATGGATTTTAATAAAAACAAGAGACAATCCTGAATTCCCGAAAACAATTCTGTGGACAGATGAATCTCAATTCACGAGAGACGGCATCGTGAACTGTCGTAATTTACATAAGAGGTGCCCAAAAGATGAAAACCCTAGGCTGAAAAGGGCTTCAACATTTCAAGTGAAATTCTCTGTAAATGTGTGGGCCGCACTGATTGACAACTTTTTGATTGGTCCAATAATACTCCCGAGGACATTAAACGGAGAGAGATTTCTGGAGCTTTTGCGGACTGAACTGCCCTTGCTGTTGGAAGAAGTGCCGCTGCAAACCCGTCGAAGAATGATGCTTCAAATGGATGGATGTCCTGCCCATTACTCGCTGATTGTCAGGTCTTTTCTTAACGAAAATTATCCAGGCCGCTGGATCGGTCGACAAGGACCTGTTGGGTGGCCGGCGCGTTCCCCAGATTTCACACCTCTCGACTATTTTTTATGGGGGACAATGAAACAAAGGGCGTACAGCAGTTCCATAAACAGCGAAGCGGAACTTGAAGAAAGAGCTTTGCGTGTTGCAAACGAAATCAAAAATGATCCCGAGATGATTCGTAGGGCAACTCATCAAATTTCACTTCGCGCTACAATGTGTTTGCAGCAACGGGGTGGCCATTTTGAACATTTGATGCATTAAGCCAAAATGATTATCCTATAGACAAGTCTATTTGATTTTATTTGTTAAAGATAATGAATGATTCATGTAGGTTAATACTGTTGTTTTATTCCTACTCTGGCGTTGAACTGAGTTCACTGCTTTTTGAAACGCTGATTTAAAAACTTGTATCTAAGTAATAAACTTGCAATTTTTCACCATTAGGAAGCTAATGATATGTAGAATAACTTAACATTTAAAAAAGGTAGGGTAAATAGGACAATTTTTATTGAAATTTAGCAATTATTTTAAAAATCACTGAAGAAATAGTGAGTTTCAGCATATTCCTCTTTATTTTAAATTCATAGCATTTAATTTCGTGGAAATTTTCACTTTACTGGTACGGCCTATTATTTACAATCACTACAAAATTTATTCCAATATGATAGGACATTCAGTTTAAAAGTTGTAACCACTTATTTAAATAGGGTTAGCAGCTGACTAAAAATTTTAAAATATTCATAAAAAATCAATTATTGTTTTTAATTTTTTTTTTGATGATTTATCCGTCGATGAAATAGAGTGTAGTTTCCCTGATTTTGATATGTGCACTTTATGAAGACTCACACTGTATAAGAAATCCATGGGATTGAGGAGTTTCGATTTGTCATGTATTTAAAACAATGGTGAATGTGTATATTTCAGCACATTCACCAAAAACTCGAAAATAAGGCAAAGTTACTGAAAAATGATATTATTTGTACTTTGTAACTGAAAATAATAGCAGGATACTTGTGGATGAAGATTTAGGGAGCGAAAAATCCATTTACTCACATGCAAAATGTTTTGCTTCACACTTAACATTTTTTTCAGAAGTAGTCCGATGTACTCCAGTTGCCTATGTGTGTATTGAGTATGAGCAACTTCTTGTCTATTTTTTGAACCAGCAAAGCAGAATCTTCTACCTCTAGTACCAGGAGGTGGCAGTAAACCTTCGATTAAGTCTTTCCATTTGTGCAATAGAGTCATCTCGCTCTCCTGGGCGAGTATCATATTCTGGAATTCTTCATTCACTAGGGAAAAGAAACTAACAATGTTTGGTTTATGTTCATCATCGTCTCTATGTGTCATTTCTTGTCGCCAATGCTCGGATCATCCAATTTTTAAAATCAATAATGCTTACTTACTCTTGCTGGACATAAGGGATTCATCAAAAAGCCTGACCAAAACCACTTTGACATTGTGAGCCTCAGCTGTAAAATCGTCGTCAGAAAGATGTCCAGGATTAACTAAGAGATTCGATTTGTGGAAAAAGTAGTTATTTTGCCTTTCAGACTGCAATTTTGGTATAATTTTGTCCAATAAGTCTAGGATGTGAGTAGACAGGTACATTGGTGACCATTTGATCATATCAAGTACAGGTGTTTTAGAGGCCTCTTCAAGTTCTTCTAAGAGCAGCGTTCTGAATATGTACTTGTTCAGAATCTTGTAAGAAACCTAAAAATGGCATTTTATGAGGGTGATCTCAAAAGGAACATACGCCATCTACAATCTCCAAATCCTGATTTTCAACGTACCTCGCACAAGACTTATGGAAAATGGGTCCCAGTCGATTTGTCTATAAATTCAATACGAAATATTTCTCACCGACCTGAACAAGAACTCTAATGGGATCGAAGTAATCCTTCGATTAGTTTCTGAGAAAAAAGCGGATGAAGTTTATGAAAATTGGTGAACGTGTACGTAAAATCGATTTTCAAATTTTTCCACAAAAACGTTCAAATGCAGCATGTACTGAATCAAGGAAACCTCCATTAGGTATCTCATGCCCTTTCAAAAAAAGATTATCCAAATTATTATTTATGGGAGGTGCTAAAGCTGCATTAGAGCTGCAAATAAAGTATCGACTGTGGATGTCTGCAAGTTTAGGCAGACGAAAATCTTCACGAGATTGAATTTCGACAAAGTCGAACCAGTTGTTCGATAAGGCGGAAGCAGATCAAACCAAATTATATCCACATTAGTGCGCGTTTCCGTTCTCTTTCGGCTTCAGAATCAATATGACCCAGAATTGACCTTGTAATACAACTAAACAATCGACTTTTCCATGGCATTGTGAAGCGACCGTTTTCTTGAGTGGCTTTTTTTTAATTTCGAAGAATTCATGTCAGTGTCAACTTGTAAAAATGAGCTTTCCCTCAAATTGACCTTGTCCAAGGTCAACATGACACCTCTCAACATCTTCATAAAAAGTTTTTAAATGAGACACTTTCTTCTTTGTAACAATTTACCAAGTATTAATTTGGTCTGGGAACTATATATAATCACCACATTCACCAGTTTTCGAAATCGATAAAATTTCTCTTGTTTAGGACGTCGAGAAATATATCATACTGAATTGTTAGATGAATTTTAAACTTTTCAGATACGAATCCAGGATCTCTCGCACGCAGAGCGGCCGGAGGGGCACTGTGAAAGAGCGAAATTCAGGCCCAACAATGCGCCTAGTGCAAATCTAAAGGGGTGGAGGTTAGGAGCGACATGGCCATTAAGAAACGAACGTTCTGGACCCGCTTATTTAGCTCCTAATCTCCGCAGACCCCTGTATTTTTCTTCAACTGGGGAGCTTTTTGTACACTGAGTATCTGGTCTTACAAAATTCGTAATGCCATAGTACTTAACCTGTTGCCTTTTGGTTTTTCTAGCCTGATCCAAATCGTCAACAGTACCGTATAAAATGTTTAACACTGTCCTTACAGTACTGTTTGGTCCATAATGATTCATGATTACATATTCAGCAGCTGGTAGCCTAATCTGCCATGCTGAAGATTGTACTCCATATCCTACCAAGTACATTCCCTGAAATAGATACGAGTTAATTGGGTTATCTTCAGCATGGTAAAATTTTTATATTGAGAAGCGTGTGATGGTGAATTAAGCCGCATTTCCGGAAAAGGATCTTTGAGGCTGGTAGGCACACACAAGTTCCTCCTGTTACTGCAAGGGCGTCAGTTTTTAGTCAATTCCCCTAAGTGTGTGTGTGTATATGTGCTTTACCTGTCAGGTAAGAGTCTCGCAAGTATTCATATTAAGGGCCTCATTATAGATGCTAATTGTTGTTATACTTTGATACTCAATTTATCTATTACGGCTTTCAGGATTTACAGTAGACCCCCGGTAATCCGACAAACGTTTTGCAGAGCGATGTCCGATTATTTATCGAATTTGTCGGATTATACAGGGTGTTTCTTAATGATATTCAGATATTTAAAGGTGTGAATCTACAGGAAAAATTAATGCTTTATAAAATATGGTCCAAAAATGTTTCGTTACAAAAACTCGGGGTGTGAAGTTTTACAGAGAGAAACAAATTGGAAATTAATTAATATTTTCTCGGACAATAGAACGGTTTTTATTTTTTTACTCAAAAATGGCGCATCGAAGGAAAACAACTCAAGAGAGATCATTTGTTTTAAATAGAACGGGAAATTGAAAAATAATTTTTATTTGTCAAAAAACTATGGGCGTACCATTTTTTTCTTAAAAAATATCGAAGTCAATACCCGTACGCACGCCACTGTTAAAGCTAAAAATTATTTTTGCATTTGAAAATATGCAACTTGATTAACTTTTACTACGTACTAAATATCAGTGAAATATCTGAAGCGGTTCTGAAAATATTAAATAATTTCCATTTCCTTCCTATAACTTCAACACCCCGAGTTTTTGTAAGGAAACATTTTTGGACCATAGTTTATAAAGTAAACTAACATTAATTTTTCATGTAGATTCACACCCTTAAATATTCGCATATCATTAAGGAACACCCTGTAGAGTGATGCCAGACCATATACAGGGTTATCCAAATTAAGTGTCCACCATTAGTAACTTTGTTATTAGTGAAAATACAAAGTTGTTTGAATTAGCAAACTAGTAGCATTTTTAACGCTGGTAAAAATGAGAAATAAAAAAAAACAATTGAGAGTCGTTATTTTGATTTTTTTCAGTAAAATAACATTTTTTTAAATGGAAACCCCTGTATATTATATTTTTTTCTGTTAAAGCATCAAATTTTAAACAAAAAAGCTTACAATAACTTTTCTCCTAGGTTACAAATTGTTGAAGTTATGGCCTCCAATCTGAAACAATTAAATTGTATCGACAAACTTTATTTTCAACATCAACTTATAATCTTACAAAATACAATAACAATTTTTTTTAAAGAAGATGCTCGAAAACACCACCTTGTTCTTCAATACATTTTTGGGCACGTTTTTCAACTGCTCGAACTGTCTTAAGTATGGTCCTACCATCTATCTGGGTTATCTTTTCCCTAACTGCAGTCTTTAACGCGTCAAGGTTATCGTACCTTCGCTTGTAAATTTGGTTCTTTAAGTAACCCCACAAGAAGTAATCAAGTGGGTTTAGATCTGGTGATCTGGGAGGCCACTGAATTGGGCCATTTGTTCCTATCCACTGATCATTAAAAGTAGTACTTAGAAAATGATAAGTTCCTCTGGAGTTGTGGGCAGGTGCGCCATCTTGCTGAAAATGCAGATGATGTCTACTTATAAGATCCAATTCGTCTAAGAAATTAGTCAGAATTTCTGACATAAATTCCACATATCTTTCACCAGTTAGGGTTCCCTCATAAAAGAACGGGCCAACAATTTTTGAACCAATTATACCGCACCAAACGTTGAAACTGAAACGGACTTGTGGGCCTCTTGGATGTACTAACAAAAGATTTTCTCTTGACCAATAATGGTGGTTTTTTCTATTAAACATTCCAGAATTTGAAAAATTTGATTCATCTGTCCATAAAAGGTAACGAAAGTTATTTACATTTTGGCGACAGAAGCTAAGATACCAATGGCAAAAAACAAGTCTTCTCTCTGGATCCCCTGCCAAAAGCGTTTGAACTGGTCGGTACTTATACGGAATAAATTTGTATTTTTTTAAAATCCTTTGAACAGTACCATAACTGAAATTAGAGTCCTTGAGAATATCTGCTATTGAATTCTCACGATAAGCTTCAAAATATCCAATAACTGCAATTTCCGTGGCCTCGCTTATTATGAATTCTTTTTTTGCCCTTGTTTTAGCAAAAACATTTTCGTTGCCCCTAAATTTTCGATAAAGTCTCAGAAAATATCGTTCATACGGTTGAATGCGAGCGGGATATAATTCACTGTAGTATTCTCTTGCTCTCAAGGAGGATTATCTGCACACTAAATAGCATTCTAACATATCACACTTTTCTTCATGGGAGAACATTTTTCTTTAAATTAATGACACAATAAAGCTTATAAACAAGTATTTACACTAATGTTTGACATTATTTGATTTTATCATTGTTTTCTAAAGCCTTCTAGTTGCGAGTATGTCCAGTTTAACAATTTGTCGCTTATCTTAATGCTGTCAAATCGCGAACGCCATGTTGTTTTCATAGCCGTCTTAATATTATAATACTGCAAATAATTAAAAATATTTATCGTTATTTTGACTTTATTTTTGACTTTGGCGGAAAAGTCATTATGAACTTTTTTGTTTAAAATTTGATGCTTTAACAGAAAAAAATATAATATACAGGGGTTTCCATTTAAAAAAATTTTATTTTACTGAAAAAAATCAATATAACGACTCTCAATTGTTTTTTTTTATTTCTCATTTTTACCAGCGTTAAAAATGCTACTAGTTTGCTAATTCAAACAACTTTGTATTTTCACTAATAACAAAGTTACTAATGGTGGACACTTAATTTGGATAACCCTGTATAGTCCGGAATTTTTTGAATAGAGTACCTGGTAATCCACAAATTACAAATCAAAGAGACTATTTGAACAGCGAATCATACTACTGATTATGTATATGTATACTATTGTATGTGGAATTTAGTAAATTAAATATCACTGTCGATAGCTAATATTTTATTATAAAAATAACATCAACAGTGCTATCGAGCTTACAAAAAATTATAACTAAGCTTATTTACGTTAGGAAACATCTTCGGACCAAAAATACAATTGTATCACAGGATATTACGAATGATAAAAAATAAAGGACAATTTATAAAGCATTAGAATATTCAGTATTTTTTCTGCTTTAAGTTGTTAAAGCGCGAGACCAAAGCTTTGTCCCTTAGTCTCTTCAAATGTAAAAGTTCGTTGTAGGAACGTATGCCTTTGACGAGTTCTAGCCATTCCTTGCTAGCCACAAAGTAAATATTTTTCCATCATTTGTAAAAAAACTTAAACCAACATGGAAAAACGCCTGTTTCTTTCTTGAAGAAACCACATGTACAAAGCTTCTTCCACCTCTTCGATGTTCAGCTTTCTTGAGTGTCTGTCTTTTGCCTAGCTCACAGTCGGTATTTATCACAAGGGTTTTAATCTTCTCGTGGTTCTTTTTAATGTCATAATTTGTAGATCGACCTATACCACTTGCTAAAACTGCTGAGCGATTCATTAATTACGATTTAAGCGATCCAAAATATCAAATATCCTTTAAATGTCTGTGTTTTGTGCTTTCGCTTTTGGGCTTAATAAACAATAAACAGCAATAAACCCTCGCTAGGTCGCTATTACATGATACAGTCAAATCCAAACTGAAATAATACGCATCGTGGGGCATACAACTCACCTGTCCAATCATGCATTATACAGGGTGCGGCAGAGAGGACGGACGTTTTTGGGATGGGTAATACTCTCCGCCTCCGTCTACGAGAGAGGTGTGGAGGGTGCCGGTTGACTCGTGAGATCCTAGCATTATTTTACCAGTTGTCGTTATGGAGCCTTGGATGGTGGAGCATCGCGTTTTCGCCTATGATTGTTTCGTCCGAAATAATGAGTCGTGAGTTTCGTCGCCACTTCAACATTCATCGGAATAGAGCTGTTCCCTCTCGAAACACCGTCCTTCATTGGGTTGAATCACTTCGCAGGCGTGGTAAACTGATCAACAGAAGACCAAGAGGAGCGCCGCGAATAGTTCGAACTCCTGAAAATGTTGAACGCGTTCGACAGGTCTTTCTTCGCAGTCCGACTCGATCTGCCCGGAAACATGCTGCTGCACTTCGCCCCAGTGATCGTTCGGTAAGGCGAATTTTGCGTATGGATCTCCGCTTTCACCCCTACAAATTGGCCATTGAGCAACAGTTACAGCCCGGAGATTATGCACAACGACTGAACTTCGCACGTGAGATGGAAGCACTGATTGATCAAAATGAGAACCTCATTTTGTTTATGAGTTACGAAGCCCACTTTCACCTAAACAGCATGGTTAACCAGCAGAATTGTCGTTATTGGGCTAATGAAAATCCGCATCAGTTACACGAAAGACCGCTGCGCAGCCCAAAAGTAACGGTTTGGGGAGCTGTATCGCAAACTTGCATCATTGGCCCTTACTTCTTCGAAGACGGTAGTGGTCGTGATGTTACCGTGAACTCAGAGCGGTACGTCGACATGATCACCAACTTCTTTCTCCCTGAATTACGATGGCGACGTGTTCCAATCCGACGTGTGTGGTTCCAGCAGGATGGGGCGACCGCCCACACAGCCCGAGCATCCAGGGACGTTATTCGCCGTCTCTTCCCTGGTCGCCTTATTTCCAGGTTTGGCGATGTTCATTGGCCTCCTCGGTCCCCAGATTCATCCATATGCGATTTTTTCTTATGGGGACACCTCAAGGCTAGAGTATACGCGAACAAGCCCCGAACTCTGGACGAAATGAAGGGCGAAATTCGCGTGGGAGTCGCCCAAGTTGAGAGAGCGATGTTGGAGAGAGTCTACGCGAACTTCCAAGAACGCCTCCAGCACTGCATCAACGATTTCGGCCACCACATGCCTGATGTGATTTTCCACACTTGACTGTCTCAAATGCTATTTCCTTGTGAACCTGATTCCATCAATAAATTTGTTTTCGAGTAAAAATTAACTGTTTTATGATTTTTTTAAAACCGTCCATCCTCTCTGCCGCACCCTGTATTAGTGAAGATTAGCAGAAATGTTTATGTACAATCAACAGTGATAGAGGGCACCGGATTAGACACGGTCCGGATTGCCGTATTATGTATTGCCCGTTAACAGTTGTATGGATGCTTTGGACTCCGTATATCCATATAAAAGTCAGAATCTCACCGTTTCTGCAGCCTGGTGGTACAGCAAGCAATCAGCATGGCCCAAAGGCACCCTAAACGGAAAATCTGTAGTGGAAGGCCAAGCATCCAGTCCGATAGCGACCAAAACGCGTACTTCGACTGAACATGCGTTTAGTGCAGGCGAAAGAAATTCCACTCGCATGCGCACACCTTCAGGTTCGTCTACGATGGCCAACCGGAAGTCGCGGGGATCGGGAAAACGGGGAACGTTTCCGCCTGAAAAGCAAAACAGGAAGGAACTCACGATAATTTTTGAATGAAAAAACTAAGTCCCGCGACTATTAGCAGTTTTCCACAGGTATCTGATGGTGATCTTGGATTTGACTTTGACCTTCAAGGTCATTTGACGGTCAAGTCGATTTTTTTAAATAAAACCATCCAATTTTGATCCCGTAACCGAAAAAAGGGAGAAATTCTGCGTCCAAATATTTGTATGACCTTGATCAGTCGTAAATTTTGACACAGGAGGTCATGGTTAAGGTCAAACCCAGCTACACTGATATAACTTGAAAACCAGTCATCGTATAGACAAACTACCGAACATTATTTTTATGATTTTTCTCAGGATATCCATTGGTAACCTTGGATCTGACCGTAACAATGATGACCTTCAAGACCATGTGAAGGTCAGGTCGCTTTTTGTAGCTAGAGAACAATCCTAAAAGAACAGTAAAGCTAGTTTATCTGGGGATTCCATACTTTTCTGAATGATCAAGAAATTAACGTTAACTTGTATATGACCTTGATGGTCAAGTTTCAAAATCGGTCAAGAACGTATTCGAACATAAAATTTTACCTTTTCTCCATTTTCGCGGTCAAAAGTATAGGGTCCCATTAAAAAAGAGACAACCGTCAAATGGCCTTGTAGGTCACGATCAAGGTCATTATTGACTATTGACTACTGGCTCTCAAGCTATATCACCGTAGCTGGGTTTGACCTTGATCAAGACCTCTAAGGTTAGAATTTAAGAACTGTCAAGGCCATATTTAAATGTAAAATTTCCCGCTCTTTTCATTGAAAGACTCAGAAATGGAGTGTTCTATCAAAAAATATCGGCATGAACTTCAAATGACCTTGAAGGTTAATGTCTAGGTCAAATCCGTCGCCAAGGATAGCTGGAGAAAACTCCTATCAATCGCGAAATTAGTTCACAAATTGCTTTAGTGAAATTTTGATAGCATAGCGACTAATAATTGAATGAAATAGATAAATAAATAAATAAATAGGTCAAACCTAGTTACGGTGGTATAATTTGAAAAGCAGTAGTCGTATAGGGAAACTACCGATACATAATTTTCAGGATTTTTCTCAGGATATGCAATGGTGACCTTGGATCTGACCTTAACAAAGATGGCCTTCAAGACCATGTGAAGGTCAGGTCGATTTTTGTAGCTAGAGAACAGTGCCGAAAGAACAGTAAAACTAGTTTAAGTGGGGATTACATACTTTTTTGGATAATCAAGAAATTAACGTTAACTTGTATATGACCTTGATGTTCAAGTTCCAAAAATAGTGAAGGACGTATTCGAACATAAAATTTTACATTTTCTTCATTTCCGCGGTCAAAAGTACGGGTCCCATTAAAAAAGAGATGACTTTCAAATGACCTTGTAGGTATTTGGCAAGGTCAGATCCAAGGCCACCATTAGCTATCCGGAGAAAATTGAGGAAATAATGTGTCGGTAGTTTTCCTATACGACTACTAGCTTTTAAGTTATATTGCCATAACTGGGTTTGACCTTGACCATGACTTCCTAAGGTTAAAATTTAAGAATGGTCAAGACCATATTTGAATGCAAGATTTAACGCTTTTTTCATTGAAAGAGTCAAAAATGGAGTGTTCTATTTAAAAATATCGGCATGAACTTCAAATGACCTTGAAGGTTACTGTCTAGGTCAAATCTGTCACCATTGGATAGGTGGCGAATCAATCGTGAAATTAGTTAACAAATTACTTTAGTGAAATTTTGATAGCGTAATGTAATATATAATAAATATTACATTGATAAGGAAGCAGTAAAATTTTACCCCTTAATGATGACAACATTTTTGAAAATCCTTATTATCAAACTACCATCAATTTTTGTACTACGAAATTTTGAAAATCTAGTAACATCAATGATAGATTCATAACCAGCGACCAAAAAAAAATCCATGGCATACATTTTCAAATCATTTGATATAATTCAAAGCTATTATCACAAAATCAGCAATATTGCATTAGGTCTCGTCTGTCCCTGTCTAGGTAAAGGAGCTAATTGCACAGACACGCAAAATAAAAAAGTGATGTGTGCACTATATATTTTTTAAGCTGAACACAAATCTGAATTCGAAATTTGGATCGGAGGACAAATAACAAGATATTTTTTGTGGATGTGATATCTGAGAGATGGGCATCCAACAAAAATAGCAAAACCGTAATTCTGATGTCTAAATTACTTTCATATTTGTCCATCGACTCTCAATCTGTACTTCATGTTCATGTTTAGTTGTATTTTTTGTGGGCCAGCCAGCTTTTATGCGTTTTATCTAAACTTTGTCCTCCAATCCCCAATTTTGAATTCAAATTCGTGTTTGGCGTGGAATAATACATGGAAAACACATAGTAGGACCTGAACGACACAACACGTTTTACTTCCTTTATCTTCTGTTCCCCGTGGCCACAGTTATGCGCTAGTAATTAGTTACACTACAGTTGTATACATTTGGAAAGAATAAGAATTTTTATAAAAGATATTTGAAAAATAAGTTGTATAACCGCTTGTGAAACTCGCAATAAATCGTTGTGAATCTATTTTTGCCTTCCAAAACAGAATTAATAACCTGAAATCTCATTCAGTATCGAAACGAAGATATTTGCTAGAAAAAAATTGTTTTAGGATGTATATTTTGCGATTATGGAGGCAAACATACGTGTCAGCAAGGTAAACATGTTAGAAATCATAAAAAAATACTGACATCAAATTTTGAACCAAAACTCTCCAAAAATTCGTACTATCTCAGGCTGGTATAAGTGTTTTGTGAGTCATACCTGGACCATAATACACATGTTTTTGCGGAGGAATCTTCAATATGTTGTACAGTGTATAACTGTCAACTACTTTTCCTGGTATTCCACAACAACAAGACTCGTCAACGTGTAACGGTGAGACTGGAGCTTCTTTTGAAGCTGCTAAGGCCAGCAATTCCACTAACCTTGCTTGCACCTTATCCCTAAAAATGCTGAAGTTAATAATTGGTAAAAAGTTATATCCCTGTCTTTCACTGGCTCTGTAAAGTTTTTGAGTTAACATACTTGAGGATCGAAAACGTCGCGGCGATAGAGCTTTAAAGATAATGGAAATCGAAAATATACATTTTGAAACATCTCACCCTGATTATGAATTTGAAAGTAATAATTCGACACTTGTTCAAAAACTATGCAATATGAGTCGGCAACATGCCTGCGTAAGAATAAGAATACGTACTGTGACACTACCAATGACTTGCTTACGACTATACAGGGTGTGTCGTAATTGAATGTTTTTGGGTCCATTTTAGGAAGAAAATTTTATATGAAAAAAATGTATCTGTACTCATTAATGAGTAGATTTTATCTCAATTTTTTTCCTACACAAGGTTTTCGCAAAAATAAAAGTGCACAACTTTTTTATAGGCCAAAGAAAAGCCACTATTAACTCCACTGCAAAGGAAAAATCTGCTTAGATGGGCTAAAGAACATAGACAATGGACAACTCAACAATGGTGTGCAATACAATGGAGTGATGAGGCCCGATTCGAAGTTTGTGTTGGTGACAGTCGCAGTAGAATTATTCGCAAAAAAATGAAGCATTCCATGTTGACTGTCTGAAGAGAAAAGTGAAATTTCCAGATCCATTATGGTCTGGGGCAGTATGTCATCAAAAGGAGTTGGAAAACTTCATTTTATTGATGGAAATGTGGATACAAACAAATATCTGGCAATTTTAGAAGAATCGCTTTTACCAGTGATGGAAGAATGTTTGACATCCAGCCAAGGTTTTGTGTTTCAGCAAGATGGTGCAGCGTGCGATACCTCAAAAAAGGCTATAAAATGGATGGAAGAAAATAATGTACCACTTTTGAAATGGGTTTCGAGCAGTCCAGATCTGTCACCTATTGAAACTTTGTGGCACGAGATGAAAAAGGTTCTACGACAACATCCTGCTCGTACAATCACCGATCTGAGACAAAAGCTTCAAGAAATATGGGATTGTTTTACACCAAATTTTTGCCAAAGCTTGGTTAACACTATGCCCAAAGAATTTCAGCCGTAATAAAAAATGAAGGTGATGTTACCCAATGGTAATCTTTCACTTGTTGCTTTGTTAACTTCGCGCATTTATTCGCACATTGTTTATTTGCTCAGATGTTCTATTAGTTATAGGTCTAAGTGATTTCAAGTATTTTTTACGATTAGAGTGTATCTAAAATGTTTTTGAGAAAATAAATTGTTTTAGAAGTAAATAGTTCCGTCATGTTTAGTTTATAAAGGCATATTTTGGTACAAATCTTGAAGTGGGCCAACTGAAGTGGGAAGAAGCTCGTATATCAAATTCCAAATATCTAAAATGGTATCTACAGTCATCAGTAATAAATGATTTATTTTAGAAAACTGTACCACCATGTATCTCAAAATTTGAGATGTTAAGGACATACGTTCATATGTACTTTTCTTCTTAAAATATACCCAAAAAATATTCAATTAGGAAACACCCTGTAACGCTGTCGACCACCGCCTTTAGGTGACAGCATTGCCAACTCTCGGACTATTAATAATTATATTATTATTATATTATAAATTATATGGAATTTCCGAGAAATTCTGAGAATACAAAATTTTAGGAATTGCCAGGGGAGCTGAAGGTTGACCTTACTTTTTTCACTACTTTCACTTAGTAACATAGCTGTAATGATGGAATTGTTTGTAGACCACAAAATACAGCTAATGTTGATTGTTTCCATTCTTATTAATTAAAAAAGGAGTGAACAAATAAGGTGAAGTACTTGGGCTGGAGGAGTAGCCTTTGTTACGAAAGTATCTTCGATAGTTTTGTTTGAATAACATGGGACGATCGTACCTTCTCAAATACCCATTCCCGTTCACAAAGTCTGACCATGTCTTTAAAGTGTGAGCCTGCAGCTTCAGTCTAGCATAAGCAGCCGGACAATCAGTATCTCCTTCTATCACCGAATATCGAGGCATTGCATCAGACTCATACAGCGATGGAGTTGATAGGCAGTCTAGTCTCACTATGTAGTCCAGCGTATTTGAACTTATCTATAGATTCGACAATACAGAGAAAATAAATAATTAAAAAGATTTGGTTAAATGCGAATCAGTTTTCATTCACCGTTCCTCATGATGTTAATTTAGACCCGTATCGTCAGTCGTCCCTACAATTGTAGGGCGCGTTTATGGCCTCCTTGATTGTGATACTCCTTTCTCATCTTCAAAAATTTCTAGATTACACTTGTCCCGTGTCAGCGTCAGCGTTCTCCTATTGTGAAGATATGTTTTCTTTTTAAATTGCAGGAAATTTCAGGCTGATAAAACATGATATAACTCAAAAGCAAGCACAATTTGATGCAAATAGATGTTTGTGACATAACCTCAAAATAGAGTTCTGACACGGAGAAGTAGAAAACTATGACAATCAAGGAGGCCATAAAGGCGCCCTACAATTGTAGGACGACTGACCTTACTGGCCTTAGTCCTTCATTGCTCTTAGTTTTCATGATTCTATAAGTAGGCGTAAGTGCAATCTGTTTTCTTTTTGTATGGATATGGCAATAATTGATAGAAGATGGTACTTCCGAAATGTCAATGTTCTTTCCGGATATTAATAAAATTCAATTTAGTGTGCGTTTGTACTTACGTTGCCTTCATCATCGTTTCTGATTAGAAACTTGGACGCAAACCTCGGATCTAATGATCCCACTGAACTTAGCAACCTTTGAACCAGCCTTTCGGTGACCGATTTGGCCAAAGCTAAGGATTTATCTGAAAACGAGAGCACAAGGCAGTTTTATTTAATGAGCTATGACATGACGTTTAAATTTACTTTCTAAAATAGTTTTTTTAAATATTTCGAACGATATTTGATGTATAACAGTGAAAATTGGTATACAAGGATTTTTTGGTACGACAAAACGAACCATGGGCATAGTTTTACTATAGCCGCTAGAGGGCGCTCTCTACTGTACCTGTAGTGTATTAAAATGACCGAAAAAATTTTCTTAGTGCAATTTTTTGCTTTTTGAATAAAAATACTGATTCTTCGCACTTTTCAACATAAAAAAGCTCTCCTGTGACTTTCCGTTATAGTTAGCCGTTTTTGAGATATTTCGATTTTGAAGGTTCGATGCATTTTTAATTATTTATGGGAAAATAATATTTTTTTTACATTTTCGATTTGGGCATTTCAAGTAATTAAGATGATCGTTTAGATTGTGTTTTTAAACACAGCAATAATTCCTAACTCCAAATAAACACAAAAAAACAGAATATTAATTTGTTTAATCTTCCAATATTATTTTTAACAACTTAAATTAATTATTTACAACTAAAATGCTATTGGATAGTTAGGACAAACATACAAAATCTAAAGTAGTTGCTCGAAATGTAAACCCAATTGTTCAATGCATAATTCACATCTACGAATGATCGAACGTGGTATAGCATTATTCAAATAAGACCCTATTTCATCACATGCATTCCTGATTCTGTCTATTAGCATATCTCTTGTGGTTACGGGAGTCTGGTACACTTTTTCTTTTAGAAATCCCGACACAAAGAAATCTAATGAATTTCGGTCAGGGGATCGTGGAAGCCAGGCGACTGGTCCTCCACGGCCGATCCATCTTTCTGGATAATTTTCGTCCAGCCAGTTTCTAACTGTTCTCGAATAATGAGCTGGACAACCATCAAGCTGGAACCAGGCCAATCTTCTTAAATCTAACATAACATCATCCCACATACATATTTGCATGTTCAGCCTTTAAAAATTCCAAGAAGGTCGCAGCATTTAACCTTGCAGGCAAAAGGTAGGGTCCAAATAGTCAATTACGGTAGATACCAATCCACACATTCACACTAAATTCATGCTGAAAATTTCTTTCCCGAACTGCATGCAGATTTTCATGCGACCAAATATGTTGATTATGAAAATTTACCACTCCACGTCTAGTGAAGCATGACTCATCGGTCCATAAAACGTTACTTAAAAACTCCCTATTATTATCAATTCTATCAAGAATCCACTGACAAAATGTGATTTTTCGTTCTCCGTCCCCTGGCTGTAGTCCTTGCACAGGTTGCAAATGGTAAGGACGTCTATGGTCATTTCTAAGAACACGGTGAACATGGCTTGCTGAAATTCCCAACGCACCAGAAACTCTCATAACACTTGTGGTCGGATCTCTATCAAACTCACGCAGAATCATACGGGTAAATCTGTGCTGACGAACATTTATGTTTTGATCCAGTTGGAGATTTCCAAAACCATTTTCAATTATTTGGCGATGCACTCTTACAAATACTGAGCGAGTTGAATGTCGTCTGTTTGGACATCTTCGTGCGTATTCTCTGGCTGCTTCTGCTGCGTTTCCATTTACAAAGCCATACACAAAATGAATATCCGCTAACTCTTGATTGGAGAATAAAAATGGCATTTTTATAAAACTTACAAAAAAAACAGGTAAAAGAAACTGAATTTCGTGCATTCACAATTGCAAAAAAACGTTTCAGGTTTCAACATACAATAAAACTAACTGTCAACTAATTGACGTTTAACCTTATTCTGCTTTCAATTTCAAAAATATTTGCAGGCACAGCCTACTTCTAAAAATTATCGAGATACTGACTTTTTAACGTTATTTTATCATAAATAATTAAAAATGCATCGAACCTTAAAAATCGAAATATCTCAAAAACGGATAACTATAACGAAAACTCACAGGAGAGCTTTTTATGTTGTATGTACACTACAGGTACAGTCGAGAGTGCCCTCTGTAGTAAAACTATGCCCATGGTTCGTTTTGTCGTACCAAAAAACCCTTGTATACCAATTTTCACTGTTATACATCAAATATTGTTCGAAATATTTAAAAAAAACTATTTTAGAAAGTAAATTTAAACACCCTGTACTTCGGAAGCCACGCATTTTTCGACCCATGTTTATATACTTTATGCATTAATTTTAAAAGTTCTATCGAATCTTAAAGTTATGCAACAATAAACTGAAACACCCTGTATATTATAATAATGTTGATGTTGCAAAGGTACTGTTTGTGTCTCCCAATTCACGGTACATTGAGCCGAGATTCTAAGAAACTAGGAACAGTTGCCTTCCAAGCGCTATGCCATGTTTCATTTGCTTAATTAACCACTATATTTACAAACATGAGCATAATGAACAGCTCCAACAGATGTATTAGAAAATGCCAATTAACTCGAGTAAAATCAAAAAATAATTGGTTAGCCCACTTTATACGACGAAACTCTAATTATTTCATTGACACTTTGAGTCAATGGCACCAATATACGTTGCAATACGAGGGCCATTTTTAAAGTAAGAACCCATTGCGCATCGTGCCCGCGCATCCTGTCACGTGACGACCGTTCAACCTCAGACACTCTTGACCAGTCTTTCACTACGAGGCTATTAGCTTGCGTGGTATCAATAATTTTGTGTTTAAACGCAAAAAGGTTTTTCCTGCTATAAATACTGAGAGGCGCGATATTCAAATCCGCTGTGAGGCCAGTCTTTTAGCGGCTTCATTCTGATTCACGGCAACGCTCGGCCTCACATTGTGGCACAAACACAGATGCCATTTCGTTCCGAATTACTGGATCATCCACGATACAGCACTGACTTAGCACCATTTGATCTTATAAGGAATTTCCTGGTTTTAAATGCTTGGAAAATGACATGCGGACAGAAACAGTTACATTCGAAATCTGATGCTAAGAATTGACAAATTTAAATATTTATGATGACCTTCTTGAAAAATAAAAAGTATCTGTATATTTCAGTTTGTGATTGTAATTAAAATTCTCTGACTCCATTACAAAACGGTTCTCTTAAAAAACGGCCCTCGTAACATTTTAAGACATTTAAGTTAACAGGGAAAAATGTTAAACGGACTTACTTGTGTTGATATTCATTCAAAGAAGTTTTGCAAGAATGGTTTGAAGTAAGCTTTAGAAGAATTTATGAAAACACGGTTGCAAAATACCGAAGAAGTAGCTTCCTTTAAATAATGTTTCAGTAGGATCTATCAACGCATTTCACAGCCCTTATTTGTTAGGTATATTTTATCGTCAACAATAATATATTACATTGAATGAATGTGCAAGGAGCTTGAAATGAAAGTCTTGTAAAAGTGTGAAAGTAGATGGAAATCTGACGGTCGTCACCTATCAATGGTCTTGCCAAGCCGGTTTTGATTACTATACTGCGCTGATGAGTTACTAATGAGCACGAAACAGCGCTGCCTGCGGTCGGTCTTTGTTAGATTAAAGTAAACATGACCTTTTCAGCTAAGTTTTGTAATGTTATTAAAAAGATTGTATCTTTAATCAACTGAATACTAACGATGGCTAGCCAAGAGCTTATACCTATATCTGCACAATACATCGTATCACTAGAAAGTTCAACGCAAATTCTGTTTAAAATGCTCGGAACTATTTTGTAGTTTCAAAAGATCATCATTATGTTCCTAAAATTCCTGGACTAACCGCCGGAGGCAATGTATCATAATTATTATAAACGTTTTTAGAACAGGTGCTTCTGGTATGAACCCGTAAGATCCTGCTTGGTGAGCCTGCACAACTGTATCTTTGTTCACCTATGCAGTCCACTGCATGTGTCATCATTTCTGGTTCCATCAGGAACGAATTGCTCAAAATCCTTGACGCAACAACTGCATAATTTTATTGTCACTTATTCGGGCTGTTCATTTTTCTAAATTTAAGCCAATAGTCGGATGTCAATCAACATCTTATATCGAAACTAATTTCTCTTAATTCTCCCCATCGGGATTTTAGAAATTAAAGCCATTCGAATTACAGTGGCTTCTCCTGAGAATCCGGTAGCCTTCTAATATTCGCATATTTCGCATCGTTTTGTTTACAATATTTGGCATTTGAGAAAATTTTATCCCTTCCCTTTTGAAGCTTGATACACTTTCAACTTAATGAAGTCCAACCGTACCCATCCTCCAACCACATTAGGCACGAGCTATTGTTTAATATAAATCAATTTCACGAAATAGACAATCAACCTTTGATGAAAATTCGATTTTCTTTATTATCAAAAAATTTTATGCTTTTTTTGTACCCTGTGTGCGAATAGTGCGTGGACGGATTTTTCAGTATTATTAAGGTGTCCCAAATATTATTTACATATCCAGGTCGGATTTTCTCCATCGAATAACGCATATTTTATTGAATATTCAGATAAACCTCTTAAGAGAAGAATATTTATACAGGGTGACTTCGAAGTTGAGTCATTTATTTTAACACTGAGTAGATCTGATCAAAAGAAATGTTTTTTTCCTTTACCATTTTTCTGGTAAAATTAAAGTAACAAAGTTATAGCCCTTTGGAAGTTTGAGTACCGCCCTGTCTCAATAATAATATTATGTGCTCGTGTTTGGCAACAACGGATATAATCCGCCTTATCGGTTCATCGCATCGGAAACAAAAAAGCGAAAGAATTTGGAACGATGTTTTTACAATTATTTTATTCAGTTGTATACAGTCAGGGTCAGTCGGTAACGCGTGAGTGAATAGTGGTGTCTGTTGCGTGGCTCAAACGAAATAAAAAATGGCACATGTTTATGCGGATCGGTTTCCCAATCGAGTGCAACCAACCCCTCGTGCCTTTGTTAATGTAGTACAACGGGCTCGTGAATCAGGTGACTTAAGACCTCACAGGGGACGGCATGCCGGTGCTCCAAGACCTCACAATCAAATACAGGTCCGCACTGAAATACTTGTCGGGAGGATACTTTATAAAACAAGGTAAATTTTTTATTTTTATTTTTACACACATATTTTGGTTTATCTTCCTTCTACAATCAATATCTGAAAATTAATGACTCAACTTCAAAGTCACCCTGTATAACCTGATATAGAAATTTGTTGTGATTAAAAACGCTCCAAATTGACACCTCGTCGGGACGCTATTTGGAAAGGTATTGGCACACGTTTTGTGCCAAAACATTTTCTTTGTACTTGTTTTAATTGCAAATATATCTATTTGGCAAAAAGCATCCTTTTCCTCCAAAATTACAAATGGAACACATGCACTTACTTCTAGAGCTTTTTCATCCGTTGCACAAGTAATTTAACGTATACCTAGCAAAAATAATTCACCAAAATGAAAATCGACTATTTTTAAACATCCCTAGCGCCCATGTTTACTTCAAAAATCTGAAATTCTGCTGAAGGTACTCATATCAGTCAAATTATTATGCACAGCTAAACACTCAAGTCTTTGCAAATTTTATATCAGAAAACCGGATTAAGTAAGATGATTCACTGAAGCACCTTGCACAATCAGCCAATAAATAATTCATTCATTTGAAATATTGGAATTGCTGTGTTCTTAGATAAAATTCATAATCGTCAAATATTTGGATCAAAATCATGAGTAAGTCTTGTGCTATCTTGAGTATTTGTTGTTTATGTAATGAGCAGTTCATATATTGAAATTCAAATTCATCAAATTGTTTTTCACCAGGCACGTGGAAGCACTATCCAGGTGTTATCATAATAAAAATGAGCAAATGCGACGCGATAATGACGTTCAAAAAAAAGTATTGACATTACTTGATAATTTGTGTAATATAAATACGAGTTGACTATAAATACACAACGGAAAGACTTTGTCACAAGTTACAGAGACAACAATACATATTGAACAAAATAATTTGTGGTGTCGAGGAAAAATCTCGTCCGATTAAAAATAGATGTTGGAACACATTTTCATGCCTTTTCCACTACTCGTAATTATTTGTTTCAAGTTTCAAGCAGCTTGAAAATGCTTGCCTTAAGTCAAGTGGAACAATAAAAAAACATACAAGCTACTTGAATCCCTAGCAAGAACATCTACGATCTACGAATCTTACCGTTACAAGCGTCCTTGATTTTCTGCAACCGTTTGTTGAAAATAAAATTCAGGTTCTGCAATTGCTCGGGACAGAAGCGTAATTTCGCATTAGGCAAAACTAACTCCTCAAGTTTGCCCGATTTGCCTTTTTTCCGTACACCTCCAATCATCCCCGCATCGCCGGGCAATTTTTTCTTGAACATATCTCCTTGAATGTTACGGTCAACGAGATATTCTGGCTTGATTTCGAATACAAAGATGGTGACTCAAATGGAAGCAGCAAAGCATTAATAGAGAAAGGAGAAACAGTATTTCAACATTGTCAAAAATGCATTTTTACTAGAGTGGGCGATAAATATACAGGGTGGCGCATCGATAACGAAACAGACGCATTTACTGGCAGCTCAGTTTTTTTTTTTGGAAAAACGCTCAGACCCGTCGATTTTATTTTCGAGGGGGACACAAGGTTGGCAAAAAATCACGTTAACACGTGCAGCCCCCTGGGCGGGGGTGAACCAACCCTAAAATCTTAAATATTAAGTAAATTCTTTTAGTCAAATTTCTTCTGAAAGTACCTATTAAAGTGTACTGTAAGCTTTAAATCAATAAATCTTCAAAACTACTGAACTGAAGCTCATGTATTTTACATCATTATGAAGGGAATTGAAAGACCTTTAAAATAAGGTATCACTCGACACCCCTTTTCCATTTAAGATTTTGGGCGTGGTGTCACCCCCGCTTAGGGGACTGCACGTGCTAACGTGATTTTTTGCCAAACTTGTGTCCCCCTCGAAAACAAAATCGATGGGTCTGAGCGTTTTTCAAAAAAAAACTGAGCTGCCAGTAAATGCGTCTGTTTTGTTTTCGATGCGTCACCCTGTATTATACCACTCAGAATACACAATAGTTACAAAAATCCTTTTTTTGGGAATACATAGACAACACTCATAGTTCAAAATGTTAAAAATATGTCGATAGCGCAATACATTTCCCGTACTTTTTGGCTTTCCAATAAGAATTTTTGTCTACTAGCCGTAAAGAATATTTTTCACTGGATTGCGTTCCTTCCCAGAAGGGGCAGTTTTTGATAAGGATAGTCATATCCTTAAAAAACGTATTTTTAAGATACTTCTACGCCATTTTCGGGTTGTTATGTGTATGTCTAAAATTTTCTATATTCATTGACCTCGGTAATTGCTTGTTATCCCAGAATTATTCATTATTTATCTGTGACATATCAGAGTTTCTGTGCAGAATTGATTACTCGATAAGAGGAGATTGGTGTACTTTAGGGAGCAAGCCCATAGTTTTTACTAGGTTGTATTCATTTCTAGAGCGGCAGAAAAACATCATGTATAACATTGTTCTTTCAAGCCAAATATTTCGAAAACGAGACTGTGCTTTTTCTTCAAAACTATTCGTAACATTTTAATGACCTTTAGGTTCCATTTGCTCGGTTTTTGAACATTTTCATGAATTTTTTTATTGTGTAAATGAATTCAAATTGGAAAATACAGAGTTTTTTGAAAGTGCTGATATGAAAGTTCACCAAAACCTTGTCTATACCATGCCTCGGAAAATTTCAGACAATTCTGTATATTGCTGCTAAACGCAAGTACTATCTTACATAAATCAAGCTGAGTTTGAATCGGAATTTCTGAGGTAAGGCTAACAAATCTTAAACTATATAGTTTCTCATGTAAATGCTATAGATATTATCTAATGGACAATGCGATATGGTTTCATTCTTAACTGCCAAAATTAATACAACTTCACCAGAAAAAGTTTCAGACAATAATTGTATGAAGAGAAAGTACCATTTTGAAGAGGGTACGCTCAGCTTGTATAAGGATTCTTCTCATAAGAAAGCTCACAAAGCTCAACTGTATACGACTAAAACTCTAATATTTTATTTTTTATAACCATGTCTATTTTCTTATTATTTGAATGCGGAATTATAAGATAATAATTTATTGTAATGACATAAGCGTTTGAACCAAGACAGTTTCTTTGCCAAGGAATTAAAATCTTCATCCTGGATGATGCACCAAAGATATGATTAAAATTCTGGTTAATGACTTACCTCAATTTTTGTGATATTGACCCCTGATCTCTTAATCAACACAACATATCCAGCCCGCTATGAACACGCGACTAAGCAGCGCTCTTCAATTGTTATTCGTATGACGACGAAACAATTAAAAATTGGGCGGGCGTCAGCGCCAACCGCGATTCCGCGATCCCCGGCCAGTCTCGATTGACGATTTGCATTCAATATGAGTGTCTAATGCATATTCTGTTTTCGTGTGTCCTCATGGTTGATGCAGCTTTCAGCATATGCAGGAGCGGCTTTGTCATCCAGAGAAATTACGCAAATGTATTGCAAATTTATAGGATTTTTTCCTATCTCAGGAAATACTTTCCACAATCTAACCTTTATACTTAGTAAGACCCAGATAAGTCTTGAATTGAAGTTCTGGGATAAATCTAGAAACATATAAATGAGTTTGCAGCCCAATACAAAACAATGCTCTTTCAAAAATTTTCCCGTAGGAGATCTAACAATTTTTAAGCATTTTGTAAGGCAAAATTAACATTTTTTTTCTCTCGTTATTGTAACGAAATCACCGTTTTACTGATCAAAGTCTAATTTATTACTACTATACTAATTTGAAACACTTGCAACTGAAATTTCAAACTATATCGACTGGCCTATTATCCCATCTCAATTCCGCGTTCACTATCCACTGGCTCGACTGTGGCTAACTCCTACCGCCATCTGGCCGGGTATTTATTCTCCTAGCGACGACTCAGAGAACCATTCCAGCGTTTTCCAGCACGAGTAGTGAACTTCCATGGAAGTAGTCTAGATGCCAGCAGCTGCCTCCTGACGAGTCTCATCGCCACGCAAGGTCCCAGTTACGAGGGCGTTACATTATTATAAGCCAATCAAACTTTGAACGATCAGGTCATTTATGGCGCCAAATGCGAATCAGGTGGTCAAACGAGAAATGCGATGATTAGAGACTTGAATAGCGGCCCATAGACAAGCAGCATCCAACGATTCTTGATTTGGCGCTTTAGAAGGAATCCTCAAATCTACAACTTTCATATTTCCGTCAGTTCTTGGACTTTGTAGATATTTGATGCTCGCCTAATCCAGATCTGTCGGATTATCGTCAACGGGCTACTAATGTCTATGCCATGTTTAGGAAACAATGTTATCACTAGGTATAGACGCAAAAAGAGCAATCAGGTAACGACATTGTTTACTATACACTATTTTTAAAACTGTGGAACTACGTAGGTATAAAATCCAAACCTGCAATCTCATCCTGTACGTGTATCTACGTCCTATATCAATGGTCATCATTACGTATGTGTAGCGTACCCCACCTACCGCTTCACATCCGATTTGTTGTTAGACCTACCGGAAGCGTTCTTTTGTTAATTTCGCCCAGGCGACGTGATCCATAATTGGACCAGCGCATACGTATGCATGTTGGTATTATTATGGTTGCGAAGTATGTAGTGTTTTCAAATTACTCAGCAATTAGCTTAGGCCGTTTGCAGGCAAATTTAGACAGCTTTCTTGACTGATAATCTGGTGATTAATCACAAGTGTAATGCCCATTATCAGGAAACAGTCTATCATACTATATGATTATATACTGGACAATCACAGGCTTGACAGAGTACAGGAAGCATTACTATTATTTCAGATCTGTTAAAATTACTGTATGTCACTTTATTTATAAGTTTATGTGAATATGGTTGTATCATCTGATCCCCATTATATGTTACATATATATCTAAAATCAAGAAAATCCAAACTAAATTTTTAAGACATCTATATTTAAAAGCATATGGTGCATATCGCTTATTCAACTATCCAAAGGAGGATCTTCTAGATCACTTTGACATGATCAGTCTTGAGCACCGAAGATTTTTGACAAGGTGAAATTTTGTTCAATTTTTCTGTGCCTAGGTTGAATAGTAGGAACTATAGTATGTTTTATCTACCAAAAGCTTAAATATTATGCTAGCAGCCCCTTCATATAGAATATTGAAATGCTTAAACGAGGTGATATATTCTTTGTCTTTGATATGAGTGAACATATATGTAAAAGGAGGATATTGTTATATTTAAAAACTGTTCAGTGACGTAAACCTTTGTGAGCTTTGCAGTATCTTTTAGTATATATCTTTATGTATTTTAGGCGTAGAATTGACGTCCAGGAATATATTAATTTGCCTGTGCTGCTACTACTGAGCTGATGGGGCTTTGTATTAGATTTTGATATACACACATATTGTTTTTTAGTATCATCAATCCATGATACTATTTTTGTATTTGTGTTCATTCATTTTTCATCACTTGTATAGTGTTTCTCTGTATTTTGTTCCTGTTGAGAAATAGATGAATAAAATAAATTAAAATAACGACATTACCGTGGAAAAACTTGTACTTATGTGACAAAAATATCGAAACAAGAGCACATAGGATAGGCGAATAGGTGCAACTGCATCCTATTTAGATTTCTATCGAAACATCAATTTGACAAAAACTTCACATAACAGTGTTTCTTCGCCAACCACGATAAATTTTCCCGCTAATAAGTACATCAGAATAAATTTCCTCAATATATCTGTCTGCCTTTTCTTAAGATGCGGCTCTGTGGAAACTGAAATAGTACAAACGATGATAAATTAATCTATTTTCCAACTTTTTGCAGTGTTGGTTAACTTGTAATAAAAAATGGTGAAATAATTCCTGTATTGCATTGGAGAGAAGGAAGATTTAGGGGTGGGGGCAGTTTGATGATATCTAGACACATCACAAGCTAGGGGCTAGTGGCACATATGTGGTTTAAGTACGAATGAGCTTTACCAAGAAGCTAATTCTTTAGTATTGAAATTTTCGTGATTCGAAGATGTCTCGTCAGTTGTTTATAGGTGATAGTTCCTTATTATAAACAAAGCTAGAAAAACATTCATACGGATTGGTACTAGACTAGGGGTAGACCGAGAACCTTCAAACTTCTTTCTTTCTAACAGCCCTCGTATCCTGATCATGATGCCACTCAATGCATGTACGGATTGTACGGTAAATATCCGTAACATTACAACTGAATCATCTACATACCTCTTCCGGTTTGTTATTGCGTGTCAATTGTTTCCACTTGTATGAAACCGGTATTATTCCCTTCAATCACTTCTTTATTATAGCTATAATACAATTTTGACATAGCGGCTATTATGCTAACATTCCTGATAACAGCAGGACTGTAGTTCAGTTTATGACTTGAAATGATACCCTTTGATTTTATCTGAGTTCGTGACATTGCTTGTTTTTTGATATTCTGATAAATACAAATATCGATCAGGGGCAGATCTAAAACTGCAGAAGGAAAATAGGGTTCGTTCACCTCACTGGCTACAAAGGTTGCCGGAGTTTTAGTAATCCCTGCTACCTTGAACAAGCAGTAGTAGCATTAATGACAATTCAGTTGTTTCAGATTTTTTTAATATTTATTTCTCTTGCTTTTCAAAGAAGCAAACGTTTCAATTAAATGTAAAGTTCAAGAACATTGTTGACAAAAATACGCAGCTACAGTGGTCTGTCTATACTATACAAAACCCTCGCAAAAATAGAACGAACAAAATATTGAAAATGAACTAAAATTATAACATACTTCAAAGTTAATACCTTTGGAAATAAGTTGGCCATGGAATCAGGACTTTGCTTACCATGGCAGCTTATTAAACTTGAAGAATTGGAGAGTTTATGTATTGTCTGTTCTATTACGTGTTGAAAATATTTGCACATCTGAGTATGGATCATAACAAAGATAGTACGAACCTTTTGATGTAAGCCTGCTTTTAGACGAGTGAGCGATCCAAGGTTTATTGCAGACTTGGGATGTAAAAATAATAAAACCGACTGTAGTATCATGAATCCATAACCTAACATCGTATAATTCTAACATTGCCTGTTTCACTCATTTCATGTTTTTTTTAAACTTCATATTACAGATAAATCTTGGCAAACAGTCTGGACCATTCAATTAATATTATAAACAAGTCTAGTCAAAATATATTTTCTTCATATTACGAAGTATAAAAAAAGACAAGTAGATCATTAAGCAACAGATACCGTTATAACGTTACTGAGGCATACTCACTAACAGAATACTGAGAGTTGGATCAACATCTTCATATATTCTTGGAACAATATAGTTATAAATGTACAAGCAAAGATGTTCTTTTCCAGAGAAGGTACAAAAAGGCATTCAAATTAGAGTTAGGTGCATTCTAAAGCTCATTTTTAGGCAGCCTTCCTTGTTCCATACGTCTCTACAGACTTTATTAAAATGAAGCTACAAAAGAGATTAAACAGTATATGAGAAGAATCTTTATAGCTAACACGTATTCCAATAAATATACTGTTTTCTGTTATTTGTCCTCCGTTGCTTCAGCACTTAGCAAACATTATTTTTAAGACAACTATCTTATTGAAATGGGCATGTTTTGTCTCTGTAAACACGACCAACCGCATACAGCGCTGTTTCGTGTTCACTAGGAACTCATCAGTGCGGTATAGGTCTAGTAGTCCTCGAGACAGATGAACGGAAAGCAAACAAGTGGATATGGTCGTTTGAAAAACTCAAAACACTGTGCGGAGGTAGGCAAAAAATCTATTGGTCTCCACATATTAATGGTTTGTCAAGCTGAACTTCATCCTTATCCCGATGAGAGATGGCGTAATGAGCATGAATCATCGCTGTCTGCGGTTGGTCGTGCTTTCAGAAACGGATACCAAACACGCCTAGTTTAATCGTATCATAAGAATAGAAAGCCATTGTTGGCCTGCTCTGTGACTATTTGAATTTCCGGCTGCTTTTTCTCGAAAGGCAGTATATATAAATTATGTAGGTACATATAATTATTAATGAATGAATTAATTAATATACCACGAAACTATTTTTAAATACTGATCAAAATCTTTCATAATTTAAAATCATGAACTATATCTACGTATTAGTATAGGAGTATTTTGTCTTTTCATTAAATTAATGCTGGAATTGAAAAATAACAAAACATTAGGAAATAGAAATCAATAGTGATCTTAAAACAAACCTAGAATAATTTTATCATATTTCAAGGCAATCTACGAGTAGATTTATAGATACCGAGTTTTATAAAAATTTCGGTATTAGAATGTCTCACAATATTTCCCAAAATCTCTGCCTTAAAAATCGACATTATATCGATTTTTAATGACAATATGTAGGTTTTTCAGAAAAAAAAATTCACTTTGGAACTAGCTATCATTCACTTCACGTTTACTTGGGACGTTTGGGGTGAATTAGCGACTAGCTAGTACACACATTATATCGTTCTTTTTATTTTATTTTTTGCATGAACACATAAAACGATTTAGTAATTTAGGCCCGTATCGTCAGTCGTCCCTACAATTGTAGGGCGCGTTTATGGCCTCCTTGATTGTCATAGTTTTCTACTTCTCCGTGTCAGAACTCTATTTTGAGGTTATGTCACAAACATTTGCATCAAATTGTGCTTGCTTTTGAGTTATATCTTGTTTTATCGGCCTGAAATTTCCTACAATATAAAAAGAAAACATATCTTCACAATAGGAGAGCGCTTACGCTGACAGGGGACGGTTGCAATGTAGAAATTTTTTAAGGAGAGAAAGCAGTATGACAATCAAGGAAGTCATAAACGCGCCCTACAATTGTAGGGACGACTGACGATACGGGCCTAAGTAGGATAGAGTCGAGAATGGAAGTGCTAAGTGAAATTTTATTAGATATTTTCTTTAATGACGGCTTTTATCACTCGCGACTTTTTCCGACAGTTGACATTTTGAAAAGAACCAACAACTTTTACAACTGACTCAAAAACTCATATTGGTTAAAAGGAAAACCGCTGCTTAATCTTATTTAAGCAAATATCAAACTTTCATTCATGCGCGAAACGTGGAAGAAGAAAAATCAAAATATCTGCAATGGTCCGTTCATAGTTCGAATGTTGTTTACTAGCAATTAATCATTGATTTTTCATCAACTGAAAGACCCAGAAAGACTATGAACTTATTGACTAGTGATCCACTCAAAGTTCATTCATAAATAAACCGCAGACTACTTATTGTTAGATAGTTTCAGTTAAATTGCGAGATCCGACATAGCGTGCTTTGCATTGCATCATTCAAATGTTTTGTGCGTGCAGACATGACATAAAACTAGGCAAAGGTAAAATGAGTTGTTACTATGGTAGTGCTAGACAGTTAGGGTTGCCCTTCCCCTTCACGAGGTGGTTTTTCAAATGAGATCTCATTCAAGTTAATGACTTTGTTTTGTTAGATTGTTACGATTGGAATAGGTAGGTACTTGATAAAAGGGGCGATTTTAACGAAATTGCATGAGATTTAAATAACGATAATTAATGGAATGGGCGCCCGCAGGGATTTTTCTCAGGGAGGCGATGATTTTTCAAAGATAACTTTTTGTGAGTGTACTTGCCAACAAAACTTTTTGAATAGCAAATCCTGTAAGTCCTCAAAATTGTAAACAAGTAGTTCATATGAATGGATATTTGTCCTAAAACTTTCCCTCACCGAGAGGGTATTGAAACTATGGTATCTATATTTAAATCGAAAAAAAAATTTTTGAATTGTTTTAAGATATTAAACTATAATTTTGTACATGTAGTACTAACATCTAAGCCAACTTATTTTCGTGCCTGGAACTATGTCAGTGACGCAGAAATTGGACATATTTGGCTTCAGTGTATCAACAAAACCAGCGTAGGAAACTTACCCATGTTTGTATAATTTTTTTACTGTTTCTAATCGAGAAATAATGCCATGTTTTTTCCTCCTTTTGGGAGTTGGAATTTTTATTATTTGTTGGTTCGTTTTTCTTATTGCAGCCATAACTAAATTTTCTGTGCCTTTTTAAATTTCATCATGTTTCGACAAAATTGCTAAAAGAATTATTACAAGATTATTACGAAAAGTCATTTAAAAAAGTGTATTTTGAAAACGAAGCATGTTCGGACATATTTATTTGCATTTGTTCTTAGAAATCATGAAATCACCATTTTAAGTTTTGGTCAGGCATCTAGGTACTTTATTATTATCCTATATCCGATGTTTTATTTTTACTATTTCTAAAAAGTGAAGAGGGGTTGGAGGTAGAAAACTATCAGATACCATAATACGTGGCCTCCACATCTATTGATAAAATAAGCCTAACATCTACCAGCATCTAGTCTATAATCACTTTTAAGCCATCAACTCTTGATCTACGATGTTACGTTTTTCTACTAGGCTGCCCTCTATCAACCGGAATCAGAACAAAGATTCTTGTTAATTTCTAGAGCAGCTTCCACTTCCCAATTATTTAGTCATTACGCTATGCAACACTAGGTGCCGCTAGCACTCACCATAAGGCCGCTGTACAGTTTTCAGATTCGTTAGCCAGACGTCTACAAGAGGCCGCCACTTATGCCTTTGTCATTCAGCACGTGATTGCTGACAGTTGAGTATTGTCAAAAGTGTCAAGTAATAAATTTGAGAATGCGGAGAAGCGCGAGTCGCCCTTTGGCTGCCGATGCTGGTGTGAGTCGCGAGTGTCGTGTGCGTACAATGAAAACGGCCTAAATCGTGTGACCGTGTGGGTCCCCGTAGTAGTGTGGACAGCAGGACATTTTTCGTACCCCCATCATGACCATTGGTGTGTGACAGCTGAGGTCCTAGGTGTATGATGCACTCTTTATTAATCACTGGACGTTTGATATCCCGTGCTATCTGGAACGGTCTCGCGAATGCTTCCCAGACCGCCGACCCCAGTCTCCAGAGGAGGTCCGAGCCCTGTCTGGTGTCAGCTGTATGCGGCTTCTCCAAAGATAGGAAAATCCAAAGACTGATCAAAGGGCAATTCGGTGACGATGCCTGGTTCACTGCCAAATATAAGACCGCCGACGTTTTGGGTAAGTTCATCCCCTTTAGATTACATAACCTCGCTTTTCTGCCACCCTGTGAGGTCTAGGGAAAAGTGCTGACGTGAATTCGATCGAAAAACAACTTGTGTTCTAACTTGATACTATTTCTGTTCTATTCTATTCCACTGTTTATTTGTCTCATTATGCTGACAAGCAGTGCCAGAGGCAACTGCAGTTACCACAGTTGAAAAACTGCTATTTTGTAGTAAATACACCAAATAATCCAAATAACACTGACTTCGTAGAAGTTTTGTAATATTTGCTCAACACTTGATATATAGGTACTTGCATGTTATATCAAATATTTACTCACTGCATGCTTCAGTTTTTTAAAACTTTTAAATGACAGTGCTGTAGAAATAGTAACCTTGAATGTATTTAGGTAATAATTATTAATTACACTTTGAAATTATAATATGTCAGTATGAAATTACAGACAATGTATCTCTTGTTAGAAAGTGTTTTCACATTCTTGCCTTGAAGCTGTTAATTGAAAAATCAATAGTATCTGATCTGATGATATGTTAAAATAGTTAGTGGTTTGTTGTGATCAGTGAAATATATTTTAAGATTGAGCACCCTGGGGCTCTTAAGGTTTGCCTCCCCATAAAGGAATGGAAAAAAGCAAAAAGTTTGATTGAGCTGCCCCTTGCATCTTGCTGCTCTGGGCCATGTCCCTTTTAGCTATAAGTGAATATGCCCCTGGTTGTTAAACTATCTACAGTCCTCCTCATTTCTAGAACAGAACATAGTTGAATGTCTCCAGGGCACCAGTTATTTAATTTTTTTTAATTGGCGATTGTCACTTCTTTAGACTCCTAAATTCTTATAGTCAGAAGTTGCTTCCAAAAACATACCTATGTACTGTACTGCATTTGAGATATTATTGATGTTTCATGGAATAATTACATACATAATATCCTAGCAAATTAATAAGGACTTATGCATTGCTTTTTTTCATTTTGAACACTTATTTTTGACTCAATTCAAATTAGTAATCCATCTTATTTCTTAAAATGAATCTGCATATCAGGCCCAAGTCCACACTGAGTAGCTGACATTCTTGTCAACCTAATATTATGATGATAATTGTGGAGTAGATTTATCTAGACTCCAACTATAAGGAAAAAGATTTGACATTAGTTAAGTGTTTCTTAAGTGCAGTAAATATTTGGATGGAATATGCAATTATTTTATGGCCAATTTTTAGTCATTAGGGATCCAATTTTAGAAATAGATATGCCAATAATTATATGTTGTACGACAACTTAAACATAGACTTGAGTCAAAGTCAGTAATAAATGCAGTTAGATGTCCCTCATTACTGTGAATACTATCTACCCCCATACAGGTAAAATAAAAACAGAGACTTGAATTTGGTTCAATTTAAGTGGAATACTATATTTTTAACAAAACTACTAATTGATTCATGGATTCAGGGGCAATGTTGGTGGTGCGCTGCTTGTGGCTTTGGTCTTGAGGTATTTGTATCTACTTTCTCTTTTACTTCGTATAGCTTTTTATATACTGTCTAAACAAGTTTCTTTGAGGTGATGTTTGTTTAAACCATTCAATTTTTTTTCAGGTGTTGCGGATGGTGTGGGAGGGTGGAGGGCATATGGCATCGACCCTGGTGAATTCTCCCTACACCTGATGCGAACCTGTGAACGGTTGGTAAAGCTAGGCAGGTTCACCCCCACCAATCCCTCAGAACTACTAGCCAATAGCTATTATGAATTGATGAGTCACAAGAAAGCCATTCTAGGTAAGTGGAGTCAGATGAGTGCTATAGGCTATTCATACTTCATTTACTCGATGTCAAAACAGATATGAGCTTATTGCTGCCTGTCCAAGCATTTATGGTTCATTGGGTGATAGGAAAGCACAAATTTTAACATAGGGGACAGATCTTGAGTAAATGAGATATGAATACATAGACTGTAGACCTGCAATATTGAAATCAGATAACAAACAAAACTGAATCAATTGGTATGTGCTTAAGTTAATCTATTTTCAAACAACATCAAATACAAATAATGGGTTATCTTGAGATCACACTTGATATGAACAATCAGTTTTGAAGTGTTATAAGCATGCAGTATTCTGCAACTGTGAAAATTTTTTCAAAAATGATGAGTGCTTGTAACTAAATAATCTTGATTTCTTTAACTAAGTGACCAATTCATCACTCTAGTCAAATTCTTCCTGCCAGTTACTATAATGTAACTTATGTAAATGCTGCTTCGATATTTTTCAGCAAATTTAAAGTACAAAGTGCTCCCAAATGTGACAAGTAAGACAAATCAGATCAAATTATAGGCTAGAAAACAGACATATCGATGAATTGAAGTGTTCTGATATTGTACCCAGCAAACAACTATCAAAACTATTTTTTATGTCTTTTCAATTTAAAAGAATCTACGATCTGAAAAATTTGTGGAATGGTCACTACATAAATTTATGTCAAAAAGGATAACATTGGCATAGATATCTTATGCCTTTATAAGCTACGTTTCGAAAAGTGAATTGTATTTTGGTTGAGTATAATGTAAATTTAAAAATTCAGGACATTAAGCGGATTGTTATGGTCCGCGTGGAATTAGTAGTAATGCGGCAATGAACATAAGTACACCTGTAAGCAACTCACCTACTGTACGAAACAATTATGTGACAATAAAGTAAATGACAGAACAAAGGAAAACAGAACAAAAAAAATCACAAACTATAAATCTATGTCTAAATTACACAGCCATTTATTTGCCTTTGGTGCATAATCACACTGAGGGGATTCAAATCTGCCTCACGTATGCAGGGAATCTAGACACTTTTCATATCCTGTTATAGCCCAGTGTGTAGTTATTATATCACCAACGATTGCGCCGTTGCCTAGCAACTAACAAACATGCAGCTATACTGTATTCAATATTATTTTGTGCATAGCAAATAGCTACTATATGAAGTGGGTGCCCGGTCGTATGTGAACATTTTTTACAACATAGCAGATACTCCTAAAGAATCTATAGGGCACTCGAAATATTGTTTGACTGCCACGTGTTGTATTGAGTGGACAGCCTGACGGCTTAAAACAAAACGTAGAACTTGAACTGAGATTAGTTTAATGATCCAGGAAGGACCGAATTAGTTCTTCCGACATATTATTTGATATATAAATAAACTTCACAAAATACGTTAGACGTTAGAGAAGTAATTACGGTCGGTTACTCGACCTTTTGTATTCATAATGTTTAGATGGATGTTAATTTCATTCATTTTATTCAGCATGGCAATAAACTAACCGTTGTTTTTTGCTATTGTATTACTTCTATATTTGGTACAAGCGCACTCTGAAGTGCACTTCTGACGACAAATGATCAACCTGAAATTTTCGAAATAGCTAGGGTATTGCAATGTCAATGTATAACATATCATACATTTTTAGCATTAAAAACTATTCACCTCTGCAAAAATCCAATATGACGTTCCCAAGAAAAAATAAACTTGGTGGACAGGAGACGAACCGTCATATTGAAAGTCTAATTTTTATTATATATATGTATATATGTATATATATATATATATATATATATGTTATTTTGAAATCGCAATAAAAATAAAATTACGAAAAAATAAAATAAAACTATTTTGTGAAAATTCGATTTTTTCCCTCTCTCTAGGTACTTTGAATATTGGAACTTCTTAAACGGTATTTTGTTAGTTACCTAAATGCGCAACTTTGACCCCATTTAAGCGACTTCGTATCTCTTACCGTTTCCGAGATCGTAACGGTGAGGATCGAAGTTGTAACACCCGATATATTTTAATTTCATCTTCTTGATAAGTTTGTGCTAGTTTTCTATTCTCAGACCACTTATGACAGCAACATCAAAAGGTCGTGGTTTTAACCTTTCGATAACTAAATTTGGCGCCAAATCTTCCTTACGACGTCTGTTACAACTGTGACAACCTTCGTCTTTCGCACTATAAAACGATATTCTCGAATTCCCGAGCAACGTTTCGGTTATTAGAAAAATTAGAATTTGTTGGATACCAATTACTACTAATTGTGTGGTAGCTAGCTGCTAATGAATCGGTAAACGATAGTGTACATTTTCTAAACAATGGTAATTGTTACTCGTTACCTACCTGTACGATAATGCATACCAGGGCTTATAGTATTATATTCTGATACTAGGCGAGAGTAAACAGTAGGATAGTTGACAAACAAATTCATGCTATATGGGATTAAAGATCCTAGCGACATCTACGAGACAATAGCATCACGAAACACTCCGGCTCTTTTCAAAGTGTATTTCTAAATTAACTTTTGTGTTCTTCTAACGTCTCGACGCTACGATCTTTCAGTTCCTTTTTGGATACCGGAATACAGTATAATGTAAGGCTATGTTCAGGTATAATGGTTTAGAAAATGTTTATACTTTGAAAAGCAATGTGGTTCCATTTGGCGGCCAGATAAATATGCAAATTTATGAGCATGAAAACCACACGATACGTTTCAGATGTTACATTAGCCTAAGTTGTTACTACTCAAAGCTCTTTACTGTCGTTCATAGAAAGCAAGCTTTAAAATTGAGCACGGTTAAAAAAATATAATTCTTGTCACATTAATGTTAATACTATTCGTCACTGTTCGTCGGAGCGGTCCGGTGGACCTTGACTCTTACTTAAAAGTCTCGTCCGTCCAATGGCGCTCCCAGGATTTCAGTCTGGGAGGGGAAAAATGGAAAGTAAATTCTCAGTGTGACGTACTGAAGTGTTATAATGATTTAACATTAAAAGCATGGACATATGCAGACATATGAATTTGTTACAGTAATTTCTGTAGAAAATACATTAATTTTTTTTTAATTTTGAATCAAACGAAATCAAATTGTAGATAAAGCAATCCAAGCTCGAGCAATCTTCATATATTAAAACCAAAATGCAAAATAATATAATCTATCGCAGATTTTTCTACATAACAGTGTCAGACAAAACAACAAAAAATACATCTTCGTGAAAAAGAAACAATAACAAATATGTTACGACTTCGATAAAGTATAAACCTGAATGTAAATCAAAATAAAATTCTTAATCATGAGAAAAACATGATAGCTGAAGTATGGACCAAACATTTATATTAAATTTCCATTTTTCCGTCTGTAATTTTTTTAGACACGAATCTTTTATAGAACAAAAAGTAATTTTCTGGCTTTTTGTGGAAAATAAAAAATCAATAGAACATAGACGTTAATACCAATCAGATTAACAAAACTCCGCTTGTTCACTTCTCAGCAAAATTTTGTTACGGACTCTGGACTGGTACAGAATTTAGACACTATACTAAACCATAAAAGACTAGACTATACCTGTTCCAACAGGAAGAAGCGCACACCGTTGCTATTGGTGGGAGAGTACTCGCTAGTCGCATGCGCACTGAACGGGTTAGCAGTGTTGCCGCTATCCTTTCTTAAAGTTACAGATTTTTTTATAAGACGTTTACTTTATACCACCTTTTCAAAGACTACTCGGGTAGTCTGGGGGGGAGGGGGTGGTAATTACCCCCTTTACCCCTCCATCCCGTAGGAGCGCCAGTGCGTCCATCTGTTAGTCTGCCAGATCTGGTTCAAAAGCGACAGAAAGTAAGGAAGAAATAGAACATAGAAAAGAGCTTAATCATTTGAAGCTGAAAACGCTCAAGCATTATTGGTTTGCCCACTCGAATAATTTTGTAATTTCAAAAAATAATTTTGATCGGTTTTGTGTACTGAATCGATCTAGTTCACGCGTGACATCCTTTCAAATTGTTTCACATATGCCAAACTTATCAGTGATGAATGACCCACAGATATTTACATAAATATGAAAAATCTTTTATCTAATTCCGGAACAAAACATTAACATAGTTATAAATGTAAACGATACATATTTGTATTAGTATATCAGCGATAGGAATTTTTTAATTCACTGTCAACATTTTCGGTTAAGGAAAATGAAGTATGTTTTAGTTAGAGGCCAGTTATTGCGCAGTAGGGATACGAACCAGAATTTAAAATTATTTGTAGCATAATAACAGTAATATTGCTAGGAAATTACAAGGTGAAAGTAAATATTTAATGCAAGTATATAAAGGACAGTGGGAGATTAGTGATAATTTGTCATATAGAAATAGCGTTAGATTCTGCGTTAGACGTTTTGTTGAGTCCATATATCATGATGAAATTTTTCATTTTATTTATTAGTATGTTTTTGTACATCTGATTTTTTTTCAAAAATGATCAGCATCCTTTGAAACGCCAAAAAAGTTTGACTTCTCAATTCGTAGGCAGTTGTAAGATTAGCTTAAATGAAAACATATCTCATTCCGAAAATGTTCGTGATTACAGTGCATCCCCATCAGTAGATGTGGAAAGTAAAAAAAATTGCATGAAATCCATGACGATTATGTTTTGTAAACATAACCCTTTTTGCATCGATTTTTTTCAAAATTTTTCATTTCTTTTAAATAATACTTATTATTATGTGTGGAATACTTGTTTGTTCTTCGTATCTTTATACAACATGAGGACAGTTTCAGCGCTTCCGACAGCGAAGTCGGAAGGTTGTCTTCGTTTTTTTTTTAAAAAAAAAACAAGGTCTGCCATAAATAAATTTTCTTTCAGCTTATTCTATTTAAATCTACTCTATCGCACCACTAACATCTGACCAATCCAACCAGACATACATTTTAATGTGCGGATAATTTTATTTCGTTTTAATATATTCAGA